ACTGAACATTATTTAATGAAAACAATATAATCTATTTCGTTTCGGTTTATTCATAAAACAAACAGTGAGGTATTTTTAAGCTTTGAAAATAACTATAAATAAATTTCCCAGATTAAAATTCCTTGTCTTGTTGCTTGAGACCTTAATAAGAGTTACTAACGTTGATGAGAATTCCAATATTAATAATAATAGTAATAGGAATAATAATAATATTTAATATAACTAGATATAATAGAACCGAGCGAAACCGAAACCAAACTCGTTTAAACTTTACACTCAAAGAAGACATGTTACTCCTAAAGACAGTAATAAAAGCGATAATAATAATAGTCGATTGTGTTCAGTGTCAAACGAAAGTAAAATTTCATGCAGGTAAAATTACCAAATTGTTTATCGAGCTAATAGTAGAATCATACTACGTAGCTGGTAGCATGATATGACACAGATTCTTAACGGTATACATTGAGTAGTTAAATCTAATGAGGTTAAATAGATTGACAATCATGATCAAATATACAACAAACCTTTCACTTATACATTTACTAAATATTTAATACTAATGAAATAAATAAATGAGAAATAATGCGAGAAATTCAATTTGACTCAAACGCAGTTCAAATGTAGTTGTTTAGAATAGTGAACTTTAGTATTCCCCATCTTTTGGTTTATTACCATTATGAAAGTTATTTACACACATTTGTAAGATGTGAAAACATGTTTTTTTAATAGTCTCTAATGAAATTAAATTTTATAGAGTTAGATATTTTAACCATTCATAATTTACAGGTATCATTACTAAGGTTTGGTTTGATAATTTCGAATAAATTGAACATTGAGTAGATTGTTATAAATAAATTAATATATTTGTAATATCCCAATGAGTATAAAAATCAGACTTTCTGATGTTTTGTGACTTAGTGTGTGCCACTTCTTCAGAGAATAAATAACTGTTCAGAATTTGTTTCAATTTAAAGCTTATATTTGCCATGTGTATTTTTAAAAACTATGCTAATGCATATGAATAAATGTCATGAACATGTTTTCAATATGATAAGATTTGTGTGAAACTAAAAAGTCAGTTTTATTCGTGTATTATACTTAGAAATTAATCGATCTATCAATAAAGATTATGAGACGAAATATGAAGTATTCAGTAATAAACCGAAGATAATTTTCATCAAGTAATTACCTCAACTGAGAAATTATCCCAAACTGAGAAACACTTGGAAAGTGTTTCGTATTAATTTGAAATTATTTAAAGAGATAAATTAACACTTAAACATTTTAAGAATCTTTCATTTCATGAGTGATCTTTCAAATCAGTTAGCTTGAATCGAACGATCCTCATTTCAAACTCCAGTTTATATTATAGCATGAAACTGATTTATGAGATTGCGAATGCATGTTCTTAAAGGACTCCAAAAAGTAAATAAAACACATTTTCGATGTTATATGCCTTAAAACAGTATTCAACCATACTGTAGCCTATTCTACTACCCAATAATTGATACCTGTGAGAAAGCTTTAATAATTATCCACCAATTACAATAAAAGAACATACTTGGTTACATAATATACTTTTATTATATAAAAACTCAGGTTTTGTAAAACTCTCATGATAGATTTATTCACAAATTAACTTTAATATTGGTGGTTCACTTGTTTTATTCAACATAAAAATGTAAATTGAGCTGTATATTCCTTTGTAAATTCTGCCTCTTTGTTCTATATGTATACATTAGAATTTTTAATGCTTATTTCAAACATTATTTACGCTTACAGAAATGAATGGAAATTGGTTGTTTTATATTGGTAAAAATTTGTTTTAGATCTAGAGAAAATGATGTTTCTTCTTTAAAAAATTTTTATTCTACACAACAGTAATTGGTGAAACAACCTTTGAGCGACGCTTAAATGGCCATGAGGATGTTCACCTACTGACTAACGCTAAATATGGGTTTTAAACCTTTGTAAGGGATAGGGATTGTGATTTACAGTTGATGTTTGGGGATAGAGATTAAATTTAAGGTTTTCATAACAAACTAATAACAGCTAAAATACCGAGACATTATTTAGTCAAGTGGATAAAGTACTTCGTGCCGGAATCCAAGACCTGTTATCGTAAATCTAATTGTTTCGTCCATAAATTATAGTCTTTCTCAGAACATGAATATAATACCTTGGCTTACACGTTCAACATGATTGGCTGAGCTGACATTTAACAAACTTTTTTGAGTTTTCTCATGTGAAATTTTATGTATTTTACTAATAATCAATAGATTTTTTAATGACACTATAATTTATAGACGAACTAATCAAGATTTACGATAATAAGTCTTGAATTTTAGTGTAAAATTTATTCATCCATTTGACGAAATAGTGTTGTAGCATTTTAGCTTACATCAATTCATAATGAAAAGCCTAAATCTAATTCCTAATTCTAACCAACAACATTAAAATCATAATCCTAATTCCTTAAACTAGTTTATAACCCTTATATAGACCCAAATATGTTGATGAACATTCTCAAGGTCACTTTTACATCACTCAAAGGTCATCTATAAATTAGAGTTTCACCAATTTTTTTTCTATCAAAAATAATTTTCTCAAAAGAAAAAAAATTTTTTTCTATCATATTCATTAGAAAATCTGAACTTGAAATTTTTGGCTCTTAAAATGATCGATTTTTTTTTAATGAATGAATGAATGATATAAAGCCAATTATAAATATTATAAAATGAATACTTTATTCTAAACAGTAATTGAAAGTTTAATCCATGATAAGTATTTCATAATTATTTGCTAAATGTAACTATATATCTATATGGATAATTATCATTATAATCTTATAAAACTTATTTCAAATGTTTAAATATTAATAGAAACAATAACTTTAATGTAGTTGATAAATCTGAAAGATAAATTGGAAATGTAAGTATTGAATTCTATAAGAAATTACATTTGAACGATATACTGAATTTGTTGTTGAACAATTAGAACTTATAACTTATTACACTGTTTATAGTTCATATAGATCTACCAATTCGTCCTTACTTATTCACTTACTTACGCCTGTTACCTCGAACGGAGCAAAGGCCGCCGACCAGCATTCTCCAATCCATTCTATCCTGGGCCTTCCTTGCTAGTTCTATCCAATTTTTGTTCATTCTTCTCATGTCCATCTCCGTTTCTCGGCGTAATGTGTCCTTTGGTCTTCCTCTCCTCCTTTGGCATTCAGGATTCCATGTGAGGACTTGTCTTGTGACGCAGTTCGGTGCTTTCCTAAATGTGTGTCCTATCCACTTCCAGCGCTTCTTCCTGATTTCTTCCTCCACTGGGATCTGATTTGTTCTCTCCCACAGTAAGTTGTTGCTGATAGTACCTGGCCAATGGATCCGAATTATTTTGCGTAAACAGCTTTTAATAAACACTTTCGTAGTTCTTCAAGTTTTCGCCCCATACAGTAGAACTGTCTTCACATTTGTATTGAAAATTCTAACTTTGGTATTGGTTGAGAGTTGTTTTGAGTTCCAGATGTTCTTCAGTTGTAAATATGCTGCTCTTGATTTGCCGATCCGCGCAATCACATCTGCATCAGATCCACCGTGTTCATCGATGATGTTGGCCAAATATGTAAAGGTTTTAACATTTTCCAAATCTTCTCCGTCAAGTGTGATCCGATTGGTGCATGCTGTGTTGTACTGGAGAATCTTGCTTTTCCCACAAATTCCTCCTATTCTGATTTAAAGCAAGAAAATACTCAATATTGTTTTTATTTTAAAAAAATCATTCACTTCATTTAAAATTACTTATGACATACTAAGTCACATCTATGTTCTGATATTTATACCATTTTTCATTGTCTATTATCAACCCTAATAATAGTTTAATGGATTTATTTAGATAGAACTATAATTTACATAATATTTCATTGAAACCAAATACGCTTAATTTTTACCTTATCATTCTGATGGCAACAGGTTTTAGAATTGTCTAGTATTTTTTGTTGTTACAAATCACGACTAAAAATGATCAGTCTGTTTTACCTTATGTACATCCTGGGCGGATTTCAGTACTACATTTTAACAACAGGAAGTCTTAAGCTTTCACTCATACTTTCATACTTTCTAAACACGTTGCTGAGTTATTTAGCATATTTCACGTTGCCGTTTAGATAGACACAGGGTTCTAATCTTAATGTAGACATCAATACGGGTACATAGGTATACTTACCTAACAAATTACAAGCAGAAGGAAGCTTACATCCTGAATTTCATTTCTAGCTACATGATTGATAAATTATTAATAACCCATTCTATTGAGGACACAGTTTCCGAACAGGTTGTAGATACATTAGCTGTATTTATCTATCTTTATGTGAATACATCGTTCAATATGACTCAATAAATGTATTATTATAATGACCGTTATATTCAATAAGGTTTGCGTGACTAAGATGGACAATTTTCAAAACAAACTATAAAGTGCTTCAATAGTTCCGAATTTTACCTTCGGATATTTAAAAAATGTATACTTTAAAATGCTTTTCAACTATCTTTCATCGTTGTTTTACAACGGTACCGATCAGTTTTGTTCTTCTTATAGTTTCTTTTTAATCGTACAATATAGTTGATGCATGAATTTCATTAGAATTATTTTACCTGTATTCAGAAAAGATACGAAAATATATTAACCGCCATGATAGTTCCATCTAAAACTTTGTACAATTTTCTTTTTTTGATACGTTACACGCTTCCTATAAAACCTCATGCTTACATGGAATCAATGTTAGAAAACTAGTCATTTAAAACAAATCAGGCAAAAAAAACTATCACATTACAATGTTTGTACAGCTGATAAATGGATGACAGGAAAGTATAAGTCGTCTGCCGTTCGTTACTGTATTCTTTTTATATATATGTATACAGTTTTATCAAGTAATTTGTTTCAGCAATAGTTAGAACATTCATTTCATTTTTGTTTGTTTGTTTTTATCATAGTTTGTATTCGAGAAGATCCTTTTTCTAAAGTAAGTCTCTATTCTTGTATATACATATTAATTCATTAAACATTGATAATATTAAATGTTTAATTCTATTCATTATAATTTATATTTACATATTTAAACCAAAATGTTGCATAGAGATGATCAAATTTTACATTTGGAACAGTATTCAGTAAAATTTAAGTAGGATCACAAAGAATGTTGTTCATTTGAAAAAAAATTAAAAAATTTCCCAAACACTGGTGATATATAGAAACTATACAATATCCAATCATTTAAAACAGTTCATTTTAATGGTTTGTATTCAAGAAATACCAATATAGACATAAATTTTCATCAACAGAATATAGACATGATGAAATTTACTTCCTATGTAAGAATAATATAACAACTGGGTTATAACTTTAGTACAATTATTAAACACTAAAAGAAAAACAAACAAAATAAAACTTTGACTATGATCAGTTCAACAAAACAGTCAAAATAAGATAATAGATTCGTCTTTACCACGCATATGTATTTTGTCATCCAAAATAACCCATAGTTTTAAAAACGAACACTTCAATTATAGACGACATTCTCTACGACGTTGTAGAATCTATATATCTATAACAGATTAACAAAATAAACTTGTTACATGCGTGTACACATTAACTAGTTACAAAATTATGTGTGGTTCTCATGTAGCAACAATAAAACAAATTCATATACTACTACTTAATAAAAGCATTTCACAATCAAATTAATCATATTCATTTGTACAGAATTCATTCGTAGTGGAAACAAATTTTTTTAATTTCCATATGAACGAATTTTGAGGGTTTGGATTTATTCAGTCCATTGAAGCATATCAAGATGATATTTAATCTTTAAAAATTTTATTGTGATAAAACCTTGTCATTGCAAATTCACTAGCATCAAAGTTTCTAATAGACAAGTCTTTAAAATGTAGTGTTTCGGCTAGAGTTTTATAATCTAATTCGATTTTTAGTCATTATTATTAAATAGAATTGGTTCTCTTTGAATGACTAGAGCTAATGCTAAGAATGGAACAGTTATAAAATGCATTTGTTCATGGTTTGATTAACCGAATAATCTTAGACAGCAGTTGAAAAGCAGAAAGCATTAGAAAATCAGTTGGTCTTACCACGGGAACTCATAGTTTCAAGACCTGGAGGTTCTGAGTTCTATTCTCAAAGAGCTCGTCAATCCATGTTGTTAAAGAGTCGTAAACTAGGATGAAACAGCCATCCAATGCTTTGTACTTTTCAGTAGCCATCTAATTGAGGTGAACTATGAGATTTGGACCATATCCTCAAAGTGTCTTAAGAAATTTATCTTTCAAACCACTTGACAATATTATTTTACATAGATAAAGGGTTTTGAAAACTGTAGGTTGCGAGTATAAGTGTTGTAATACCACGTCTTTTTCTGTTTAAACCACTGTAACTATGTTTTCTGTTATTAAACAAAAACAATTATTGGTAAAAGAATGCAATTTTACATGATCGAAATTCTATCGCGCTTGTTATGCAAGCCGAATTCGGATAAAAAGTTTGCTATTCTGCGGTTTATTGATAATTAATATTCCTGATAGCCAATGTTTGATCGATATTTCGTTCTATTATTTTCACAAACATTATCACCATAAACCGTAACTTCACAGAATAATGTGTTTAAAAGCAATTTAAGGCTTCATTAAGATAAATCAGTCTTCAATGGTCGTTGATAGCCCAGATGTTTCAATAAACCACCAATCTATCTCTTGTAATCATGAAAATTTCGTCTTTCTTCAGTTTACTTTCGAAAAACATATACACCAATACGAAAAATCTACATCATTACTTTAATATATCTGGTGAATAATTAGTTTTTAAATGTCTGCATTTTCCATTTGTTTATATTAAAGATTGCAGTTGTTCAATTTTGCTTATAACCTATTCATCTTCAGAACAGAGTTCAAATCTCTGAGGTGCAATTATACCCATTTGACAAGTTTCAGATAACGTGAGACTCACTTACTAAATTCCACATCTAACTGTTGTCTGATTTCGCATAAAAGTGTCAGATTAATGTCATAGGCTTGAATGCTAAGTATAAAAGATAATCATTATTATTTCACAATGAAATAAATTGAAAATCATTATTCATTCTTTATTAATATTTTCTGGTTCCTTTAGACCTCAGATCATAACAGTAGAATTTCATTGTTATTAAACTCATTATAAAAATTAAGCACATAGATGAACTATTACTATGTACTTGACTAATAACATTGAAAAATCAATTGTGCTAAACAACAAAAATATTTCTCTTAGTTACTATGATATATATATAAAAAAACAAAGATAATTTATCACAATAAAATAGTATCCATTCATTAATCAATTTTTTTTCACTGTATAAACAAAACTACTTAAGTCATAATACGAGTTAACATAATTATTGTGTAAACTATGAGTAACCTAATATACAATAATTTTATATAATCATAAAATCTCTCATAGCTACTAAATTAATTCAGTTCCACCAAATAATAATGTAAATTAACAGTACTCATCTATCAGGAGTTTTGTGGATATTATAGTAATTTCAATGGTTGAGATCATGGGTCAATTGAAGCTAGACCACCATGGAAAGCCTGGAAGCACTGGATAGCCGATTCTCCTATTGTGGGACTCCTCAGCAGAGGAGTTCAACCAGGTCCGTTCTGAGATACTAACTCACTTATAACAGTGGTGGATATGTCGCTCAATTTCGTGGATTAATTGAAGTTAGACATTAACACCGTTGAATGCCGGCCAGATCAGGGGTCTAGTGGTTAGGCGCTCGCACACGAGACTGATAGGTCGTGGGTTCGAATATCGCGGGTGGCGGGATCGTGGATGTGCACTGCTGAGTAGTCCCACAATAGGACGAAACGGCCGTCCAGTGTTTCCAGGCTTTCCATAGTGGTCTCACTTCAACTGACTCATGGTCTCAACCATTCAAATATTCATCTATGTTTACTGATGTACAAAAATTCCAGAGAATGCGCTCAATGTGTTGAATCGGTTCTGTGAAAAGCTACTTTTATTATAAAATTCCTGGAACTATTAAATATAAAGGCTCAGCAATGAATTACGCTGATTTGACTCTCTTGGATATTCTTTATGAAGATCATGAATCGATCACTGTTATGTGATCATTGTAAACTTGAAAACACAGAACGGCTGTTTTGTCTCTTGGAATTTACTTGACTATTTCTGATATAATATGTTCATTGATCTCTATAAACCCTGTCAGTTTACTGAAGTATTCACGCACTAAATAATTCACTACTTATTAGTACATAGCGTTATGTCACCTATTCTCCTGAGGTTGATGAAATTCTACTGGTTATGCTTCAATGTGGCTTGATATCACAGTGGATTTTGTCTGATGTTTTCGTGGTTAACAAGAATTTTCCGAGTATAGTTATTACGAGACTATAAAAACGCCTATGATTTGAGCATTAAGATATGACTAACATAAAGATCATCAAGTTCTTCTAAGTTTGAAAACACCTCTTACTGATGAATAACAATGAACATAGTTCTCGGTAACAATGAACAAGTGTATACAAAGAAATATAAGAATTTTCAAAATACATATAATTCACTTCAACAAGTGTCACATACATCAAATAATTATACTATGAATACTGTGGCTTATTTAATACCTAACGTAAAATCGATCAAACTATATTGGACATTTTTTAAATAATATTGATCTCAGTATCTGAAAATGATCATTCTTCTACCAATCAAACAAGTATAGTACGGAAATGAGTATCTTTCTACAAAAAAAGTTTATTTTCTCGTTGCAGAATTCCTAGAAATGTCCACTTATTACATGTGGTTTCAGCGTAACCTATATAATTATCATTGCTATTCAAGAACAGAAGAAATTCGATCAACAATGAAATCCAGAACTCCCGTATTATTTTATTCGAGACATGTTAGCTTAATGTACCAGTATCTCAGAGTACATTCTCACCATAGGATTCGAACTCATTGCCTTTCGTTTCAAACACCATCATATTAGCTACATTCCATCTATCCTGTATAAACTTGTGAAAAATTGTTATATCGAAGCAATCTATACAGAATGAGCATATAGGAAACATGACTGATCGAAATTCAGTCAAAACATTACCAACGGAGAAGTCAAAACGATTACAAATTAAAATTTCATAACAAACATCGAATCTGAGATACAAGTATATTCAGTTGTTTCATACACATAGTTCCTTTTATTATTTTAAAGAGAGCAAGAACAAAGATTGGTGCAAAATAATGCGAATTCATTTTATTTCGTCAGGTTCTTATCAGCCGCTTACAACTTGAAATATTTGAAATTCAACGTTATTACAGATATTGACATACTTTTACATAAGAGGGTGATGAAGGATGAATATATGTATCTTGATGTAGCAAAGATTCCGTCAGAATTATGGAGGTCAAAAAATTTTTTGTTTCGAATAAATAAAGTTTGAGAGGGAAGGTTCCAGAACATTGAAATAGTGATTAGAACTCATGGAATTAAAACACATTAGATTATTATGTAATGAAGTGACTGAAAATAGATTAATGGTAATAAAAAGAGAAATGAATTGAAATTGATCAGTTATGAATGGTGTAATTATAAAATTCAGAAAGAGTTATTACTGTTTCTTTTTGCATACAAAGATTTGGTTTTAAGCGTTTGATTGCTATCGCTTCGGCAAATTTCAAAAGGTTTGAATTTGATTGTTTGTTAATCACCTTGAGGGACTTCAGTATATCGACTTCGTGTCCTGTGTCAAGGAGATGTACTGTGATAACGCTGCTGAATTCATTTAGTCCGTTTGATGAATCCCAAAAAGAATGAATTACAAATCCTGGATTCCACTGCTAGTCACTATGCATCTCTACTTATAATCCTCGTAATTTAATGCAATATCAAGACAATCTGCACATAGTGCATATATTTTAATAAGTGACTGACTAATTGCAATCATTAAGCATCGATGAGAAAATGCGAACAACCAATACAAGATGAATTGTTATTTATATTTCTTTTATATTAATTAAATTAATTTTTTTATTAAATATAACTATTTATTTTGTTATTTAATAAATTTTAAAAATAAAAAAATTTAGGAAAATATTTTTATTAAAATGAATGGAGCAAATTTGGATAAAAAAGATTTTTTTGGTAAATCAGATCCATATGTAATTATCTATCGAAGAAATGAACGAGGAAAGTAAGATAATGAACATTGTTCTAATAAGTTATTTATACTTATAAATCTATCGAATTTATAATCAGGGAAGGGTTTTTGTAGATATTATAGTAATTTAATAGCTAAACTTATGAGTCAATTAAAGCTAGATCATCACGGAAAAACTAGATGCACTGGAAGGTGGTTTTGTCCTATTATGAGACTCTTCAGCAGTGCATATCCAAGATCTCGCCTTGCGAGACTCGAACCCAGGACCAATCAGTCTTGCGCGCGAGTACTTAACCACTAGACCACTGAGCTAGCCGGCATCCAATGGGGTTAATGTCTAACTCCAATCCATTCACGAAGTTGCGTCACCGTCTACCATTGAATTTATTAATTCAGTTTTTAGTTTACTGAAATAAAATTAAATTTAATTACATGATTTATCAAATTTAGTTCAGCCTGGAAATTATGCAGCATTCCTTGAATATCTATGCTTTTACAAACTGTAACAATCCATGACAGAATATAATGTTGTGCTAAATACTGACTAGTTGCGAGGGAAATCAGTGACATTTCATTGATATGTACTATTTCAAGAATCGGAACCAAATATTAGAATGCTTGAGAAGAAATTATTGTGCTCAGATTTAGATTACTTTTAAGATCATTTATACTCCTAACTGTTGAGTTCCGAGCTAAAGTAAAGCCACTGTCAGGTAAGCTCACTTTAAAACACACCTAAGTTGGCCAACATTATTACAACGGTTACTTATAAACATGAGCAGTTTCCCTATATTTGTACATGAGTTAGAGTGTGATCGTTTTAAAACGCTGATAGAATTCAGTACAATTAACTCTTGAGGAATGATGATTTGTTCGATAAATAAATGTTTGTTAAGCATTTGTGAACATTCTTTAAAACAGGTTCAATGAACAATTGCACTATAGAAATATTAATTATAAAAATAAAGTTTACTTTTTTTAATTTCATAATTTACTTGTTGGAGTCATATTAAACAGACAGCCAATTAAATACAGGAAGCATTGGAAAATTGTTTCATCCTAGTTTAGGATTTCATAGAAATCCACATTCATGAACTGATTAGCAAACGAACCTATAACCTCTCAAAATTAGTCATTAGCGACCACATGATTATTATCACTATGGGAGTACGTGGAGATTATTGAGTGTCCTTGATTGATTTATACACTTATACTAAAGAATTTAACATTAGAACAAAATAGCTATTCAGTGCCTCCTGATTTTTAATGGTTACGATAACTTTTCTATCTAAAAATTGGGATAATCTAGCAATATGGAATGAATACATTCATTCCTACGGTTGATGTTAAATAATGAAGTACACAATAAATAATATATTTTTAATATCTCAAAACTTGGATTAATTTTAATTTGGTTATTTATTCTCTAAAGAAGTGGCTTACACTAAGTCACGAAACGTCAGAAAATCTAATTTTTCTACTCATTGGGATATTACAAATATATTGTTTATTTATAACAATCTACTCAATGCTCAATTTATTCGAAATTATCAGATCAAATCTTGGTATAATACCTACAACTGAAGTATACAGTTGTAGTTCCTTATTGACAATACTTTTGTCAATTTTTTTTAAAAGGAAGTGTTGTAAAAAAATTTTTTTATTAAAATAGATTACAAAAATGTTACCGAAGTGAAGTGATCAAAAATACATTATTTCCAGACTGGAAACCAATTCTTATATGTTTAGATAGATTATGTGGAGGGAATATTGACTGGTAAGTTCTATTTAATTGTTTACTTTCATTTTTGCTTACACAAAAATCCATGTAGATTTTAAAATGCAATGTGAGGTACTATATATTCATATAAACGTCCTAGTTAAGATCCCATATAGATTGTTATGTGAACATTGCTGAGAAATCCTAAAATGTAAGATAGGCTAACAATCCGCTGGGGTTTTTCTTGCTTACTATTAGTCCTCTAGTTTGCATTACATTATGTGATGAATATTATTTTCATACTGTAAACAATGTTTTTTTCCTATTAAACATGCTAATTTCTTCCTCCGATTACGTAATATTCAGTAATCTTTATTTGCATCGAAAATACTTGTTACTTAACTTGTGGGCGAAAAACTTTACAAAGATATCATTTTTGATGTCGTGTAAAACTTTTACAGTAACATGCAATCTAAATACAATAAACGTAGCTTTATGAAAATCTTTTTAAAAGAAAATTATTAGATTGACATTATCGTCTACAAATGAAAGTTTTGTTTGATTACTATTGAGTTACACATATGAAATTTCATCTCCAGCTTCTCGTTTGTCATTTATATCCTCTCCTGTAAAATTCTTTGACTCAGATAGATAGGCTCTGGGAAAATTCTTCAAATCAACTACATACATTGACGATGATTATTTAGAATCATTAAACCTTGATTTTGGTCTCCCCACTCACTGTCTATATCATTCGATCACATATTCAATTGATGTGTATTAATAATAGGCATAGATTCTTGTAGCATTAACTACATTAAGCAATGAACATCCATCATTTTCGTAAATGATGAATGTGCTCTTAACTCGAAACCTTCTTTGTTTCATCAGAAAATATTTTGTTCAATAATGATTTTGTATCAATATATTTAGAATGCTCTTGGGATTAGAGTAAAGGAATGACCCAAAAAAAACAGTAAATCAATAAAAGTGTCGTTCTCCACCATTTCAAAATAAGTATTTTTGAAAGAAAAAATATTTCGCACAAAATTTTAAACAGTTTCATGGAATCTAACTATCAACAAACATCAGTACACAGGGATATCAAGTTGTGTACATTCCTGGTCACTTTATAAGTGATTTTAAGAAATTCAGGGAGATATGAGAACCAAAATTTATTACAAACTGTTGGTAAAAAAAATATTATTTAGAACGTGGTTTAAGTTAATAAGCTCAACAGTATCATTTTTGCTTAGAGTCCTAGATAAATTATTGAAACTTATCTTCAGAAGTTAGAAAAAATCCGAAACCCTCCGTTTCATGAGCATTTAATGGAAGACTTTCGAAACTTTATAGAAAAGCGGTGAATTATGTGACACATTTTGACTGAGTAGTTACCTATTTTCATCACTAAAATTATTGTGATTCCCAAAACTTTCAAGCTACCAAGATGACGTAAACCTATAAAGCTCTTGTTTTCCTCAGATAAACTAACTTTGAAAGTAAATCACATTTTTTCGTTCTTCATTCCTTCTATCTTCCATAATATGAAGTTAAGAAGTGGTTATTAAATTATAGTCAACCGTTCCAGTACCAAACCTATCAACTTATTAAAATGTAAAAATCTCGTTTTAAAACCTTTAATCACTAACTTCTATTTCAATACTTACTAAGCATTTTATACATGATTTAACGGTACATCATTTTTTAGAATAAAACATCATTCTTTGCTCTATTACAATGTCATTATTGAAATCATAGAAAATAAATCTTACATTCAACTACTAACTTATCCTAGTATAGAATTCATCAATGATAGTCGATGAAAGATCTGAATAATATAGATTTGATCATTAGTGTATTTTTAAGTAAGCACTTCTAACAAATCCTAAATACTAATGTCTAAAACTTATTCATTACATATTTTTTTTATTCATAGTATCCAAACTTGTACCAGTCATTTATAAACCTCTTTACAGTATACAATAACAATAATTTATCTCTATAAGTCTATGATTCATTCTGAAATTCTTAACGAACAGTGATAACACAGAGATTTATATTCAAATGAAACTATATCTATATATGTATCTAAATATTGAGTAATATTCCTTTTTTTTTTAGTGAATTATATTTCCGATGCTTTGACTGGGATGGAGCTGTAGGTGATTCGTAAGTTAACTTTTTTTTTTCATATTTCATTATATTTTGTAAATTAATTCATTTTGTTAATCTGATTAAAACAAATTCAAATATGAACTAAACTTTTAGTCATAAAAACTGAAGTATACTTTTTATAATCTGAAAAAAATATCTGTAACCATCCATTGTTTTACATAATAAAAAATTATGATAAAACAAGAGGCAAATCAAATAGTTTCAGGTTGAAACAGTGACTTAAATTGGCCATGAACAGGATATTCTAGGCTGTCCAACTTGACATTATTGAAAAGAAAATGTCTATCTTTCACCAAAATTCCAAACAGCACATAAGCGATTGTGTCATATCACATTGTGTCTATCAATTTACATATGTGTGCGGAAACACTTACATAGGGAGGAACAATCGTGATCTGCAAGAAAAGGTGGAGGAACACATACCCAAATGGTTGCAGAAATAAATCAATTCGAATGGTCAAATAAGATCACAGGATAGACAGATATCTTCTTCCATTGCGAAACATTTTGGTTGAGACTGATCATAAGGTTGATATCAAGTCAGCATTTGTTCTGTTGTACGAAAACCTTCAAGGGCGTATACTCAGGTTTATTGAAGCGTTAGCTATTCAGAAACTGAAATCGTCCTTATATGTTCAAAAATAATTTGTTCTTACCCTTAACTTATCCTGTCAATACTGATTTATTATTATGCAGTGATTATTATATTGTTTTTGTGTACTTTATTTTTCTTTATTACGGCTTACTTTTAACCTGTCGAGGTGACCTTTTATTTTTATATATAATTGTTTTTAGCAAGTATATGAGTGATCAGATCGTTCGGAATATATTGCGCAAATGTATCACATAATTCTAATAATATTTGTTACCTCATTGCATCATATGTCTGTGAATTTATAGTTTACCACAAATGGTTAATAGACGTTCATTATCAAACATTCGCCCGTTAATTTAACTAGTCAATACTGAATATAAGAGCATAATTTTTCACTAAGGATTTTATTTCAATCTCTAACTTTCAATTCATTTACTTTTTTATTCATCTGATAAGCCGAGATGATCTACAGTACCATACTCATAGAAGACATATGTAGACAACTTTAAATGATCGTCACATTAAAAAAGGCTTCAGTTGACTCATGATTTTAACTAATGAAATTACTAAAATCTCCACGAAACCCCTTCTGATAATAATCATTTACACACTAGTGACTGATTTAAAAAGACACTCATGGAGTTCTAGTGAGAATCCGTGACCAGTGGAGTTCAACCAGGTCTGTTGTGAGATAGTTACTCACTCATGACAACGGTGACCGTGTCGCAATTTCGTGGATTAGTTGAAGTTAAACAATAACACCGTTGGATGCCGGCCAGCTCAGTGGTCTAGACGTTAAGTGCTCGCATGCGAGACCGATAGGTCCTGGGTTCAAACCTCGAGGGGGGCGGGTTCGTGGGTGTGTACTGCTAAAGAGTCCCACAATATGACGAAACGGCCGTCCAGCGGAATTACTTAAATCTCCACAAAACCCCTTCTGAGAAAAAAACACTCAATAATTCTAAACATTTAGATTTTATCATTCATTATGATTATAACAGATCATTTGAACATTTCACACATTTAACAAATACACATAGAGAGGATTCAAGATATTCACTTTGGAATTTTTACTATAAATAAGGATTAACATTACACAAAATCTACTTCATCTTATACTGAACTTATCAGACGAGGCTATCATTACATCTTAGTTTAAATATTGAATACTTCCAGATGAGTTTAAGAGACAATCACTTAGTTGTATAAATTTATTCTAAATTCTACTGTTTGTAATCTTGTTGTTATTGGTGTTGATGTTGAAAAAGTCAACTTGAAAGTTTAATATATAAGAATATGCTGAGAACGCCCTTCATTCTAATAAAGACTATTCAATGTTAATATATATATATATATGCTGATAATATAAATCGCTACAATTATTATCAGGCTTTATTTCATCAATACCTATTGTTCGTTTTTTTTTATTTTTTAAAAAGGAAACAACCAAATAGCCGCCAAACAATCTTATAACAGTCGTGTTGTAGTTATTGTTTTTTTATTTTTTTCTAATATAATGAACTAGTTACAATTCACATAGAGCATTCTAGAGTATTCGTTACATGGAATAGAGAAGATTCCTAATTAATTTTTGTTAATCTAATCAGCACTATAAGAAATTATACTTGAGTACTTTAATAAAATTTGTATACATTGTACTATCTTTTCTTCTTTTCTTCTTAAGAATAAAGATGTAAGAATGTTTTTTATTATCTAAGAAACTTCTAACAAATATAGCAATAGAGTAATAGTAGAGTAGTGGAGTAAATAGAGTAATGATATATATAACAAAGAACTACAAGAAATGTTGGATTATTAAATTACTGAAACAAAGAAAGATAAATTACTACCGAATTCTAAACATGGTTTATTACGGCTTTTATAATTTATTATAAAGATTCCATTAGAGTTTTTCTATATATATATATATATATATATATATATATATATATATATATATATATATATATATATATATATAAACATAACCAAATCTGATGAATACACCATTTATCAATAAGAGCCATTTGAACTGTTGTTACAATCAATGTTGTAGAATATTCTTTAACATAGGGTATATATTTACAATACTCAATCTATTAAATTTATTGACACCGTTGCTATTACTATACTAATATATATCTTTAATATACCTTCCAATCAAACAATTTCATGTAAGTAATTTAAATCTGTTAGGTAATTGTGATCAATAAATATCACAGGTTGTAAACAGCTGGCGAAAATCAGATGAAATAGAATGAATTCATGCTATTTTGTTAAAATCTTTATTTTTGCTCTTTTCAAAATGGTAAAAGAAACTATGTAGGCGAACAATATTGTTTTCGATTAGATCTTCATCAGGCTTTACTCTAAAATATAGTAATTTTTACCATATATATACGAAATTATTAAATCAACCCATCCTGTGGAGAAAGCTACATTGAGCGCACTACCAGACAACTGAACCAAAGATTTAGTGAACACCTTCCATCGTGGTTAGGAAAAGGTAATGTCAAGACAATACACAGCCTGGCTCTATCACACTTGGTCGATAGCGGTCATGTAGTGGATAGAAACAAGTCATTTAAAGTTACTTAGCACTTGGCACTCGTCAGCAAGGTGTACCCGTAGTCTTTGAGGGAACTGGTGCTCCCTGGCGGATTCGATCCCGTGTCACACAGCTTCACAGTCAGAGACGTTACCACTGAGCTATCCGGGCCACAACCGACCTCCTGTAGGACTGACATGTAATCACAATTGATTGATCACTGGGTGACCAATGTCATGCGTGTCTAGTCCTTATGTCAATAAATTGTAAGGATTGTAAGCTTGCTCAGTCAGTCAGTCAGTTACAACTTAGGACCAGGCACATATATGCATCGGTCCAAGTTGCCACACCTCATTAGCACAGCAAGACAAACACCGGATTCATAGAAGCAGTTAACTCAGTGGTGTTATATATAAAGGAAAAATTATGTGTAAGGATGTAGTACAGAAAGAAAGAATTAGTACGTAGGAAGAAAGATATATAATAATTTTAATCTCATAGTTTGAAAGAAGACAAAGAGTGTATACACCTACGCCATTATGATCGATTCTAAGCCATGTCACCAAGATTCTCCAACCACTGGTTACGATAGTCACGTGGACCCCAATCAAGTAGCCTGCATCTACCAACATGGCTAAATCTAAAAGTTAGTGACTTCAAGCACTGATGCCACGTTTTGATTTGACCGCCGCTAACTTTTTTTCCAACCATTTCCAACACTAGTCAGCATCGTGCGTCGTGGTAATCGGTGTTCAGACATACGCAACACGTGGCCAAACCATCACAGTCGATGAAGATTCACAACTTCATCAACTGATTCAATATCCTTCCCTAATACCCTGCGTCTACTACTACTACTACTACTACTACTACTACTACTACTACAACTGAAAGTAATACGATTAACAATGTTGTATAAGGTTGATTTAGATTTCTTCTTCAGAAACAAAAATATATACTATCCATTTTTGGTACTAATTACATTTTGTTAAAATCGCTTAATTTATAGAAAAATGTCATAAGAATACTTTTTTTGTATTTTTGTTTTACTTCAATCAAAAAAAGGAACTCATTAATTTATTCATAATTTTAATTTGTCTATTTTATATTTTATTTATTACAGTGAAGATGTTGATACAGAAATTGAGTAAGTCAATGTGAATTCGAGTATTTCATATGTTTATTTTCCCTATTTAATCCTTCTTTTTTTGTTATGTAATCATGAAATTTGTACATAGAATAAATTGTAAATGAAATAATCAGTAAAATTAAACATAATATGTCTATATTCCATCTATGTCTGAGTCTATTATTAACCATTTAATGTTTAATTCACCATTTTTAACATTATGTCAAATAATCTACACATTTATTTAAATTAGAACAATGTTTGTATTGTATGTTTCATTGTATAACCAAGATAGTAATAATATTATTAAGATACTGAATATTTAAGTCTTTGAACTACCAATGTATTAACATTAGAATATATATATATATATATATATATATATATATATATATATATATATATATATATATAGAGAGAGAGAGAGAGAGAGAGAGAAAGTCAGTAATACTTTAATTCAAACAATAAGTTACACAATGCATATCATTTGAATATATTATTTAATATACTTGTGTATTAATCAACATAACAAATTAAACCGTTTACTATTATTACAAATAGTGAAAAACGGGTAGTTTGATATTTTATTTATAAATATATTAAAAAAAGAACAGTGAGAAGAAAGAAATAAATAGCTTAGTAATTGAGTTTAACTTGTGAACACCATAAACATATATCTTTTGGCTTTTATTATTATTGAATAATGAAATCTTCATCTATAGTCTTACCTACCTCCTTCAACTGAGCTATGTTAGTCTTTGGTCAATAATAATGTACTGAGGATAAACGATTGTATGTAGTTATGGCAAATAGTCATATCAATGTTTTATCCAAATGCAATAATGATCATATTTTCGGTGAATTGAGTACAAATACATTAATGAACTAAGTATCAGAAGGAGGTTTGTGGAGATTGTAGTAATTTCAATGGTTAAGATCATGGGTCAATTGGAGCTAGACCACCATGGAAAGCCTGGAAGCACTGGATGGCCGATTCTCCTATTGTGGGACTCCTCAGCAGTGGAGTTCAACCAGCTCCGTTCTGAGATACTAACTCACTTATAACAGTGGTGGATATGTCGCTCAATTTCGTGGTTTAGTTGAAGTTAGACATTAACACCGTTGAATGCCGGCCAGATCAGGGGTCTAGTGGTTAGGCGCTCGCACACGAGGCTGATAGGTCGTGGGTTCGAATATCGCGGGTGACAGGATCGTGGATGTGCACTGCTGAGTAGTCCCACAATAGGACGAAACGGCCGTCCAGTGTTTCCAGGCTTTCCATAGTGGTCTCACTTCAACTGACTCATGATCTCAACCATTCAAATATTCATCTATGTTTACTGGTGTACAAAAATTCCAGAGAATGCGCTCAATGTGTTGAATTGGTTCTGTGAAAAGTTACTTTTATTATAAAATTCCTGGAACTATTAAATATAAAGGCTCAGCAATGAATTACGCTGATTTGACTCTCTTGGATATTCTTTATGAAGATCATGAATCGATCACTGTTATGTGATCATTGTAAACTTGAAAACACAGAACGGCTGTTTTGTCTCTTGGAATTTACTTGACTATTTCTCATATAATATGTTCATTGATCTCTATAAACCCTGTCAGTTTACTGAAGTATTCACGCACTAAATAATTCACTACTTATTAGTACATAGCGTTATGTCACCTATTCTCCTGAGGTTGATGAAATTCTACTGGTTATGCTTCAATGTGGCTTGATATCACAGTGGATTTTGTCTGATGTTTTCGTGGCTAACAAGAATTTTCCGAGTGTAGTTATTACGAGACTATAAAAACGCCTATGATTTGAGCATTAAGATATGACTAACATATAGATCATCAAGTTCTTCTAAGTTTGAAAATACCTCTTACTGATGAATAAAAATGAATATAGTTCTCGATAACAATGAACAAGTGTATACAAAGAAATATGAGACTCTTCAAAATACGTATGATTCACTTCAACAAGTGTCACATACATCAAATAATTATACTATGAATACTGTGGCTTATTTAATACCTAACGTAAAATCGATCAAACAATATTGGACATTTTTTAAATAATATTGATCTCAGTATCTGAAAATGATCATTCTTCTACCAATCAAATAAGTATAGTACGGAAATGAGTATCTTTCTACAAAAAAAGTTTATTTTCTCGTTGCAGAATTCCTAGAAATGTCCACTTATTACATGTGGATTCAGCGTAACCTATATAATTATGATTGCTATTCAAGAACAGAAGAAATTCGATCAACAATGAAATCCAGAACCCCGTATTATTTTATTCGAGACATGTTAGCTTAATGTGCCAGTATCTCAGAGTACATTCTCACCATAGGATTCAAACTCATTGCCTTTCGTTTCAAACACCATCATATTAGCTACATTCCATCTATCCTGTATAAACTTGTGAAAAATTGTTATATCGAAGCAATCTATACAGAATGAGCATATAGGAAACATGATTGATCGAAATTCAGTCACGATCACACCTCACGGGATTCGAACCCGGGACCTAACAGTTTCGCACGCGAGCACTTAACCTCTAGACCACTGAGCTGGCCGGCATCCAACGGTGTTATTGTTTAACTTCAACTAATCCACGAAATTGAGCGACACATCCACCATTGTTATCAGTGAGTTTCTATCTCAAACCTAACCCGGTTGAACGCCATTGTTCACTGCTTCTCATTAGAGCTCCAGGATATACCTCTTGAAGCAAGTCACTAGTGAGCATATGTTGATTAGTATCAAAACGGTCGGGATCGTATCTGCTCATTTTTGAGGAGTTCCACAATAGAACGAATCAGTCGTCCAGTACTCCCAGGTTTACTGTGGTGGTCTAGCTTCAATTGACTCATGATATCAACTATTAAAACTACTTAAATAAATCCTTATAAAATAATAGTAATTATATGTACAGTACAATCAGCTATTAAATGTACCTATATGATGCAGGTATGGTTTTATTGATCAGTTTTTTATTATAGATAATAATTTCACTTATTTTTATAATATATTTAAATTTTGGAAAACAATTCAGTCATTGAAACACTCTTAACTTGTTACTTTGAATGACAATAAACTTTCAAGTAGACGTTTGTGCTGAAGATCTTAGTCAGAAGAACGATAAGAGCTCCACGACCAAATCATCCAGCTTGGAGAATAATTCTCCACCTAAGCTACACATCTTCACCATCACTTTTCTAAAGAAAATAATAAACCATAATTTCGCAATTGCGTACACTCGATTAAGACTTAACTATCTAGTTAAATAGAGTATACACTTTAAATAAATTACGGAAAAGTAAAAACTAATTATTTCCACTTGAGATAAACTAGGTATTATTTGTAAAGTTAATTGAGAAGATTTTCAGCATAAATTTATTACCAAGTATAAATAGTTTATATTAACAATAAATAGTTAAAATCATTTCGCTATATATATATATATATATATATATAGTTATTATAGTTAGTCTTCTGATTTTGAAACTGATATGCATGCTTTCTATATACGAGCCTAACTTGATACGTCATTAAAGGAATTAAAAACGAATAAAAAGCTGTATTTGCAAACTGAATGGAAATGTACACAAACCCATTGGTATATATATACCGCAGATAATTGAGCCAAATTCTAATCAATAACCTGAATCTATCAACACCTGTCACCAACCATTTGGTCTTGATAGTTCGATTTATCGGCCATTATTACTTCAAATCTTTAGTGATGTGATGTGAACATTTTCTCAAAACTGAGCTTTAACTAGAAAATCATTGAAATATAGTCATCACTAAATAGCGTTTTCATTCGTACCACAATTAGAACCCAACAAAAAATATGATTTTTTTACTTCCAGGTTCTACAGCATGACATACATCAACCAATCTATCTTGACTTAAAGAAGCTTACTTTAGAAAAAGTGTAACAATTTTTAAATGGCATCTGTACTGCCTGTCTTGTTCCTGGTCAGATTGAATTCCTGTAGTTATGGCTTTTCACTTGAACTAAATATCGGTCGAAATCTAAAGAATAAGTAGTAACTCACCTACTTTAATGTTTTAGGAAACGATTTTTCGTAAGATATGAAAAAGTTGTTGGATAAAACGGTGCTCATCGGTTTTTACTGTTTCTTTGGTTAATATTAGTCAGTGACCAAATTTAACTTTCAAACAAATGATCTCCTTAACCAATGGGCTCCTACATCCACCTTACCATCAAACATTTTACTATTGTTTATTCAGAAACAAAATAAAATTTGATTCATACATCTCTATCCTTCGTATTTTCGTTGAGTTATATGTGAAAATAACAATTTCTGTTCTTATAAAATTATTCTTATTTGAATTCACTTTTACAGTGATCTAATTGGTGAATTTAATACAACCGTTAGCCGTTTGTTGAACAGTAACGAAAATGGAATTGAATTTCAGGTAATGTTTAACTTTTTAAATTGTTGCATATATTTATATAGTACGTTCTTATTCTATCCAAAGTCCATTATTATCATTCTTTTTTTAAAGATAAATCTGCTCATAGTTTTTATTACGGACTTATTTTATTTATACTACCATCGAAAATCAAAAAGCCTTCGACAGTTATTTCGTCTGATGTATCAACAAAGCCTCTACATATCGAACCCAGGAAGTTTGGCAACCCAAGTAAACGCTTAACCTCCAGATCACTGACCTTGAATCTGATGATGATTAGTGGGGCCCAATTATACCATATGTAAGACAGTTATCAGCAACATCAATGATAGATAGTTGCTCAATATCGCTAAACGATTGAAGTTAGATCAAATTTCAGCTCAATAATCTGAAGATTAACCTCTTATCACGAACCCAAAGGATCTGATTCTGGTCCCTGTAGATAGGGTTATGGATACCCACTGTCGAGTAGTCCCATACTAAGCCGAAATGTGTGTTTAGTGCGTACTATTTTCCAATAATTGTCTACCTAAGATTAATCCGTTGTTGAAACCATGAAAACTTAACCACCTCCAAATGACCTCCTATACTAACATAAGATATGTAACTTGCTAGTTATTTTCGCTTCTTATTCTATAAATCTATTGTTCATATTACAATCAATTAAAAAATGAATTAGAATGTATAACAAAACTCTTTCAGAATATCGTATTTATTATGTGTTTTATTTCAGTCCCCCCTCCATTAAATAAAAACAGAAGTTCTTACAAATATATATTCAAAAACATTCATGTTTTCACCATTATTTTTAACTGGTTTTGTACCCTTTTTCCCCTTTTGATTAAAATGTAATCAACTTATTCTCTTTTAAAAATATATAAAAAATAAGTACATTAAGTCGATTAGTCCCTATTAAGATGAACTAAGTGTCACAGATCCCACTATTAATCACAAATCATCTATTCTAAAGTACAAATGTATACTATTTATTTTCTTAAGTTGATGGTAATATTACGTAAAAAAACGTTACTAGAATAATATTCTTACCAAATAAAATAAATACAGTTTGTGATAGAATACCATTCATGATAAGATGTGTTTTTTTAAAAAATAGTGGAACATCAATTCGTAACAAACCCTTTTACTAAACATAATCAAAAATTCCCACAACAGGACGAAACAGGTGTTCAGTGCTTCTAGGTTTTTAGTGGTGGTCTAGCCTCAATTGACCAATGATCTCAACCACTGAAATTACTATAATATCCACAAAAACCTTCTGATATGAAAAATAACTGATACGAAGAAGTTTTTCATGATAAACAAAATAAGTGAAACAGAAATTTTGCTATTGTTTAAATCAGTAGTTAATATTCACTTAATTTTATAAATATATTGAGTTTAAATTGATATATTGAGACAATTCATTATTTGCAAATGGTTGATCATTGAGTGATGATCAATATCATGTATGTCAGGTCCTTCTTAGTGTAGATCGAATCCTGTCGACCAAGTTGCAATCAACTATAAATACATCTCAGTTCTACAGGAGGTCATTCGCAACCTAGATAGCTCAGTGGTAATGTCTCTGACTGTGAAGCCGGATGACATGGAATCGAATCCATCAGGGGACATCAGTTCCCTCAAAATTACAGGTACACCTTGCTGACGAGTGCCAAGTAGCACGAAATCTAGGTCCAGGGTTTCCTGTTGACTACCTCCAACCACCATTTTATCACAGTTTATTGTGTATTTATCAGATTATTTGTTATTGTTGAAGCTACGTATTTGAATCACTATTTTTTACCTAAAGATTCAAACATGTGTTGCTCACCTGAAGATTTAAAAATTCAAGATCCAAGTTATCTTTGTATCCATGATTGAGGACTGAAAAGAATTCTGTATTTAGAAATATCAAAAGTATTTAGAATTGTTTAATCTTTAGTAATAATCGAACTAACGTCAAATTAAGATGAATATTATATTTAGATACTTTGCTTAAAGTCATATTGTTAATTAGTATTCTGAATGTTATGTAGTTTCACTACTGAACCTAATGATAACTGTAGGATGGCAACTAATGACTATACTTTCTTGAAAAGCTTTAAACTAAAAGAAAATTGCTATCCAGTTCATCTTAATTCCATAGTTGATAATAATCTATCGTGAAAATTAAACTGAATATAAGTTAATCTTGATTGATCTGTCAATCAAATGCTACAACATTTTCTTTCATATAACAAATTAACTTGATATTATTTAATAAAAATACTTAGACATGATAAATTCCAACATAAACAACTAAATTCATTTGATCACTTCTCCAGTTAGTATTATATTAATATAAGAATAGCTTGTTAATTATAAGCTGAATCAATTACATGCAAGTCAAATGACAAATGTAAGATACTGAGTGATGTAATCTAACATCAGCAAAGATTTAGCTTAACTTTCTTAATAGACATGTATACGCTAATCGATAAAAATCTGGTTTAATTTTTTTTGAGGAACATAGATCTTCGTTTATGAATGAATTGTGTGGATAATTTGATATGATATCATTTATTAATCTAAGTTAATAATCCAAAGGAATAGTCTTATCAGAAGTAAATACATCATTATAATATGTGGAATAAGAATTTAAAACTCTTAATGCGTTGATTAATGTCATTAGAGTTTACTTTTCAGAGTTCATAAATACCTAACAAAGTGTAACGTAAATATGTAGTTAGCATCTTTAATAGTTTAATCTAAATTCATTTAGTCCAAACAGATTATAAACCAAACTTCATCAGCTCATTTTAGCAATCTGCTTAGGTTAGGTGACAATCTGTGGAAAATCGGTTAACTCCAAGTTCTTTAAATGACAGTTTATAATCAATAAAATAAATTGAAAATCGGAGAAAAATATCAGAAAATAACAAGTTCAAATTCTTTTTAAGTGATTCAGAACACCTAATGTATATAACCTATCCGCCCCCCCCCCACCTATATTTTCAAAATTTTAATGTATGGAGTTATTTACAGCTTTTCTCACTCATTTACTAAGCTATACTGAAATATAAACATAAACACCTAAAAATTAGTTCTCAAAATAACACATTAAATATGTCTGTTCTGTTTACATGAACTGTTTATTACATACATGAAATCATTTATAAGACCTATTCTCATAAAAGTCATGAAATAATTCAAGTAATCTATAGAAAGAAAACATCAAAGAAAATAGCTATTTCCCAGTTGATTAAACATTTCGTTAAAATGTTACAAGGTTATGATAGCTGTCAACCTCTTTTATTGATGAAAACATATAATATATGTAGTGTTTTGTGCTTTTTTATTTTGAATGTTTATTCATTTTCTTAATAAGCACTAGTAAAATAAACTTTCAGAATTGTATGTCTACATAATTCTAGAACATGTTAAACAAACAGGCAACTGAACAATTTGACTTCAAAAATGAACACACGAAAATAAATATTCAACATAAATAAGCATATTTTAAAAGAGATGAAGTTGATATATCACAAAGCATTTTTTAAAAGATATTCCCTATATGTAAGTGAAAATGGATAGTGGGTAGCAATAGAATCCAGGAAGTGTGTTTCGTCCTATTTTGAACTCGCCAGCTGAATGTACCTGAATTTCAGAGTTGATATTCACTCTGGGACTCGAATCCAGTATCATTCGTTTCAAACATCATCGCGTTATCCACTTAACTATTGAGTCCCTATATAATTTTATTTAGCCCAATTATTGAATAGATCATATATATATATATAAAATCACATTCTACCTTATAATTGTAAAATCTAATGAGAATTTTCTTAAAGATTAGTCTCTTTATTGTTTATATTGTCTAGTTCTCTTTTGAAATATAATGAGATATTTATATCAAATTTACCGATTCATTAACTAATCCATTGAAATATACACAAATGAATTTTCTTTTTGTTTACAGTGTTTACGAAAGCAAAAAATAAGTCATTGATTATAAATTACATTAGTTATAATAATAATAATAATAATTACTATTATTATAAGGTAGTCTAAATTAGATAACAATGAAACAAACTGTGCTTATTTTGCACATTTGTTTCCTTGATTTCGCTTTTATTCGCCATCAATACATCATTATTATTATTCATTCTTTCTTTCTTCCTTTCATCAATTATGTTGTTTGCGCCGAATTCCCCTTAGTTAATTTGCCTCGTTAGTATCATTGTTATTAGTTTAGTTAAGTATGTGTTATACTCAAATTTTATAATATGGATCACATTGTATAAATAAATGCAAATTAGTAAGTTAATTTTAACCTGTTTTGTCAAAGGAACCGTAATAATAAACATGTATATATGGATCTCATGAGAAAACATAAACACTAATTTGTGTTCTGAATAATCCTTTGTATAGGATAGTGATTGGATGTAATTGACCCAAATAACTTAGTGATATGTAGTTTAATTGTGAAGCTGAGGGACGCGGAATCGAATCCATGGCACACAGTTCCCTTAACATAACAGGTACACCATGTTGGTGATTTCTGAATAGCAAAAAATTCATGTCTTGAGCATTTTGTTAATTACTCCCAATAATTATCTAAAACCTAAATATAGTACACGCGATGTTGAGTTACACAGACAAGGTGCCACGTTTTGTACAGGTTAGCTCAATATGGTTAGACATATCTGAAATTATACAGTAATTAATGGTTCTCATTGACGCCGAATATACACAACTCAATTTTACAGTGATAAATATAATGTCGGTATATATATATATATATATATATATATATATATATATATTAAAAAAGACTGATCGAAATTCCAAACAAGATGATTTACAATGAGATCCTTTCTAATAATAATATAGAACATCATTAACTTCTACAAGTTAAATAATTATAAAGTGATTTATTTTCCTCAAAATAATTCATTTCACATTAGACTGTAGTCAAAATATATTTGACATAATATTCAATTGATAATCCTTAAATACTTTATATACACATGATTTATGAGTTAAAACGCATTTTGCGTTCAATATAATAATAATAGTAATAATCTTGTAATTGATAAGCTTGAAAACAGTTTATTTCTTGAGTCGATCAACTGATTAGCCTAATGATAGGTAGAAATAGTTATTGTATAGGGTACACATTCTATTAAATTATGCTCAATTAGTAACTAATAATGATCAGTATGGGATTGTGGAGATTATTAGGTTTTTGATAGAGATCATGAATCGATTAACGTTAGGCAACCATTGAAAACCTGGAAGAACTGGACGACTATTTCGCTTTATTATGAAACTCCTCAGCAGTGTGCGTCCGCGATCACGCTCGCAGGATTCAAACCCAGCACTTATCGGTCTCGCGCGCGAACGCTGGCTCAGTGGTCTAGAGGTTAAGTGTTCGTGCACGAAACCGATAGGTCCTGGCTTCGAGTCGTTCGAGCGTGATCGTGGATGCGCACTGCTGAGGACTCTCATAATAAAGCGAAACAGCTGTCCACTTCTTCCAGGTTTTCAATGGTGGTCTAACATCAATCGACTCATGATCTCAATCAAAACTTAATAATGATGAATTATTCGGTGGCAAAAATTACGATGATAACTTTTTGATATTTGCCATGATAATGACCAGTTCAATGACATTGTCATCAAATTGTAGATATTTAACAATTGTGAAATTAGATTCTAGTGCTATGAATTCATAAAAGTTATATTACAACAGTCAGTATATCATGAGGTGAAATCTATTGAGACAAATCGATACTTATTATCACTCCCTATTTATCCTTTCCTATGAAACATTATTACAATGAGAGATTTTAACTATTTCAATTCATATTATCTGATAAGTACTGTTATAGCAATACCATAGATGTATTTACTACATTTTGTATAATATTCACTTTATCTTATTATTATAACTGTAAATTATCAACTTAAAACTAAAAGTCCACTTTTCTAACCACCATTTGAAATAGTATTGGTTAGTTAAATTTTGATTAATGTAAAATCTTTCTCCTCTACTAACGACCATTTTAATCAAAACGTTTATGTCCAATTTTTACATTTGTATGTGATGATGTAACATTTATGGGTCAATAATTATAATGCAAAAAAAAGAGTAGTCATTTAAAACGAATGTTTATTCAACCTTGTATGTTTTTAGCTATACGATTATCGCGAAATACGATTGCCAATTTAGATACGCTTATTTATACAACCCAACTAATGACACATAAACTAGTACGAGTTGACTAGAGTTCCAATTGTTCCTTTTTCTATCTAAACCTTCCTGTCAAGTTCAGAGCACCAATTTCAGCTTTCCAGTATATTCCAAACATTCTGGGTTTATATACAAGTAAAATCAGACCACATCACATCATAAAATAGAAAATGACATTTATCCGAAATCTAGCCAAAATTGGCTGTGATTTTGAGAACTGTTAATATTAAATTGGGAATATCTCATAAATATTAAATCGTATGATAATAGCCAATAAGTTAAATAACAGCTTATAATGAAAGGAAAATGAATATACATTTATTATAGTTATTTAATAGTCATACAATATGAATATTTGTATAGTATTAGTCCATAAGTAATTCCTAACTGTTACCATTCATTTATTCCCCTCCGGGTATAACACAATCACTCGTCTTTTTTCTCAATGTACTATATGAAATTTTAAACCAGTCGCCAAAAGCCACAGGTAATCAGTTATAATTACTGTTGTTTTTATTCTTCTTTAATTAACTCAAAGTAATTTCATCAATTCTCCAGTTAATAAATAAATCAATATTAAAAGTTATTAATCTACAATGTATTTCAATCAAAAAAGCAATTCCCTGATTATATAGTGTAATACTAAACTATATTTAATATGGTAAGATATACATAATGACTAAATATTATTATTATTATCATTATTACTATTATTAGTATTAGTAGTAGTAGTAGTAGTAGTACTAGTATTAGTAGTAGTAGTAATGACATGGTAACAATAACTGGTAACTATTGAATTTGATAGGTTTCTCCATAGGTTTAAAATTATTTCCTGCATTTATTTCATAACAAGATATATGTACAGATTAAAAAATGAATGACTTAAGTTAACTGTCATTTAATTAATAAACATAAATTATTGTTTAAAGAGAATTATGAAATGGATTACAGTGATGAAAAATACAATTATTTAAAAGTTGAAAATATTAAATATATATTTATTTTAATAGCTGAATTCATGAGTTAATTAAAGGTAGATCATCATGGAAATTTTGGAAGCACTGAACAGCCGTTTCGTCCTAATATGAGATTCCTCAACAGTGTACATTTATTTGTGTCAAAACATTTATCCATACGATCTGATAATCATCAAACATTTAAACTATATTATATGTACTATAATTGTATAATGCTTAGTTGAAATTCAATGATCCATATTTTTACCATGAAATAAATCATGATCCATAACAAATGTTACATATAAAGTAATATCTACATCTAAAAATAGTGAAACTTCATTATTCACAGAGATCAATTAAAATCTTAATAAATCTTTATTAAAGCTATTCAATAATAGACATATAAATAATATTTTAATAAGTATTTTTACAAAGATATTTTGAACAGTTTGAAGATGGTAATAACATGAAATGATATGAACTGAATTCTAAGTACTGTTCAACACTCTCATACTTAAAGGAAAATGAACTGTTTCATAATATCCAACTTTCAATAATTCTTCAGTGTGTATATCAATTCCTGATAAATAAATAAAAAAGTAATTACTACCTTTAATCTATACAGATTCCTTTACAAATAGTTCATTATTATGAGTATTCCTATAAATATCTTAACTAATGGATTTTGAGAAAAAATATCTGATAAATAAGACCTCACAATCAACATGTATGTACATATTAAATAAGTATCCTTAAAATTGATTTTATTTTGGATAAATTATTTTATCCCATGATTACATATTGTTCATTTTTGAAATTATTCAATGTTCCATTCTTTTTGATTTTTTTTCCCGCTAAATAGTTGATTAATATGCCAAAGAAAAAACGGAAAAAATGCTATCAGAATTCTGGTCTAGTAAGTTTATGTAATATTTGTATTTCTATACACACACAAAACACACGCACGCACACATACATAGATACATGCAATAATTGTGTTAATGTTGAGTTGGTTGATTTTCTGGTATGTAGTGCAAAGTTGTATTTAAAAAAAAAGAACAAGACTCAGCAATTATTCTATCGAAAACAAAATATTAACATTTAGCTTTATTTTACATTCAAAATGTTGAGAAAAAAAGTAAATTATTAGTTAAAAGTTGTTTTTGTTGTGCTAGAAAGTTTCAATTATCTATGGAATAAACTTACTGAGAAATGAGAATACATGACTGATATTTAACGATACTTAGTTTTTCACAGTTTGAATCTTAGTTAGGCCGTGACTGAAAAGTTTTAACCACTGAACGACTGTTTCGTCTTAGTATGAGACTCTTCAGAGTTTTCAACTTATAACGTTGCATTAGAAAATCGAACTCCAGACACTTGGTTTCGCGCCTGAACGCCGAACCCCTAGACTACTGGTGTACATGTTCAAATTAAGTCAATTTACGATAATTTTTAACGCTCATCCATTGACTACTGCGAATAACTGTTTCATACTCAACATGCCTGAACTCTAATGGTTTCGGCTTCTTACTCGGATGTAACATCTGTCCAGTGCTTCCAGGTTTTCAATAGTGGCCTAGATAAGATCAATCTGTGACTTAAACTATTAAACTCACATTCTTCACAAATCCCTTATATATTGATATGCTGTTTATATTAGGGCGCAAAGATGATAAATATGTCAACCTTTTTATACGTGTTAAGTGTCTTATTGATACTAATGAATTAGCGGTTCGAGAAATTTTGATGATGAGAGAACACTCATATAACTTTTGCAAATTTACTCGACTTCTGAAATTGATGATATATCCATTTGCTATTCAAAGACCAAGTATGTTATGCAGTAGTTCCCCTCTTTATTGTACTACATATTAATTAAATAGTTATCAAGCAATAAACACAGTTAATTTAAAACGTACATCTTAAGACAAAGTTGGCCATATGTTGTATTGACTGGAACATGTGTTCTCCATGGTATAACGCAAACAATGATATGATATCAGTCCATAAGATAATCGACTTGTGATTTGAACTGTGCCCAGAATTCCAAACTCTAACTGGAACCTTAGAAATAACAGCAATTAACGGTATAAGATTTTTTTGATAGTATGTCTTAAAATTGGTGACAGTAGTCCCGATAATCTTATCATTAGTTTAAATTCATCTTTTCGTATGTTTTAGTTTTTCACAAACATACCATTATTACTACGAAATTAATTGCTCAATTTCTTTGTACTGTGCTAATGCGAAACATGAAAAATTGAAATGATAACCATTTTTAGTCTATCCTTACGTCAATCATATTTAAAAGCATACTTTGATTGACGTTTTAGCTATCAGAACAATTATATTGAATTAAATAGGTATTTCGAATTAACTAGGTAACCTTGAACATAACAAACGTTTAAATGAAATAAACATTGATAATATCGTTCAAAAAGCCATTGAAAAAACAATTGAAATCCCTCATTGATAAACTTTCATATAGACAATTATCTATGAATATTGATAGAATGCATCACTTTTAATATTTTTAAAACAACTCTTCAATGAATCATTAAACAATGAATTTTTTAATTTTAAGCAAATCTAATGAATCTAGAAATGAACGTTTTTTATTGTGATCATGAACCAACCAATGTTAGACTACCGTTGAAAGCCTGTAAGCACTAGACAGTAGTTTTGTCCTAGTATGGGATTCCTCGGCAGTGCACATCTATGATCTCGCTTGCGAGATCCGAACCCAGGACCTTAGGTTTCGTGTGCGAACGCTTAACTTCCAGACCACTGAGCCGAAATCCAACGGTATAATGTCTAATCTCAACCAATCCACGATATCGCGCTACCATCTTTCACTGTCTTCAGTAGGTAACTACCTCACAACAGACACGGATGAACTGCAATTGTCAAAGCTTCTATCTAAAACTCTGAGAATGACCTCTCGAAGCTAGTCACTAGTAAGCGCTTGATTATTATCAACATAGGGTTGTGGAGACTGTTGAATTTTGATTGAGAGCATAACTTGATCAATGTTCATAATCTCAACCAAAACTCAACAATCTCCGTAACCCTATACTGAATAAAACTTATTTTTATTGATCATATTTCATACTTGGTGAGCATTTCTATATCATCTATAAAAGGTATTTGGACAGAAATATAATCAACAAAGATTATTATATAGGCATAAACACTTCAGACCTTAGTTTTGTTAGTGTATTGTTCTATGGACCTGGTCAGTTAATGATTATGCGTTTATTGTATTTATAGATGTCATCGGCTTAAAACTTACTAGTAAATAGCACTATTATTATTGCGATTATTATTATTATTACAAGAAGAACCCCACAAGTAACTTAAAGGTTGTTCTCTTAACATAGGAGTGAATCGATCATTGACAATAATTAGACTGATAATGTATTCTCATTTATTTTAATTTTGTTCCTTATCCTGACTATTATTCATTGTTGTGGCCCATTCATTGATGGATTAGATAGTTCTCAGTATGTTTATTGATTGCTTGAATAAACTAGTACCCAAGCTACGAAAAATTGAATGATTATCATTCCGTGTAATTTTTGTTTGGTGTTTCAATATTTTCCCATTTGAGATCTTGGGTACAATTATTCTTCCGCATTGAAACTATTAGTGATATGACTTTCTCTTTAAAGTTCATAAGTTTGATGGCATCTGTAAAAACAGTAAAAATTTCACAAATGAACTGTCAAGCTCATAGTACCACAGTTCTCCTCTTACTCACGTACGGACTTTCTACACCATCTTAAGGTATATCTACTTGATATATAACTTTATGTTACCTTGCAATGTCCTACTTTTTTATATGAATGGTTTAGTGCTGTTTGCAACTTTCCACTTTACTCATACGTTAATCCTGAATTTTGAAGCAAATTAAACTGTTGCGCAATTATGTAACCTTTTCCAACCAATTTGTAATCCATTGAAAATAAACTTATTTTGTATTATTAATAAATAATAGCTTGGGTTATCCAATTGCTAAGATTCAGGACTAAATTTTAATTATATTTTGTTGACATATATGTATCCTGCTTGAAATACCTCGATTTAGCCATTTTATGACATTTAAAAAAAAAAGCTGGATAGACTTACATATCACTGTTTGTAGTTATCCCGAGGGAATCTTCATAATATCCAAACACATCAGAAATTATAGATCAAAATTTAAAGTTGAAAATTAACAACGAAATAATTCAAACCCTTACTAATAATTATACAAAAATCATACGTATTGAACAAGACATCGGTTATCAATATTTAGTGGTTCAGTTGATAAATAATTGCTATTTGAAGCGAAAGCTATTATATTCAAGTCATAGTGTGAACATTATTATTAGGATATAAGTGCATCTATATTTCGAGTCCCAATATAGGACAAAACATTCGTTCTAAATTTCAGCTCTAGACATAATCTATCTATTCTATTGGCGTTGTTTATTTCTTCATGATATACTTTGTATTACATAATGTTTTGATAAAGATTCTCATGGATTAGAATTAAATAAATACGTATCGCCTGTAAATTAAACTATACAGTAAATGACCTGAGAATTAAATGAACCATTACTTGATACATCATTCATTAATCAGTACTATATATATATATATATATATATATATATATATATATATATATATATATATATATATAATGTTTGCTTCCTTCTGAGCATGCAGCACTTTCAAAAGTCTATATATTTTCATTCCTTTATAAAACTCCCTATGGAATAGATAAGAAAAATTTTAAGTTAACATTGTTTTTTCATCATAATAATAACAATTAAAAAAAAGAAGAAATTCTCTATTTTCTTTTTATGATTGAAAGATTTGAAAATAAGATTTTTTTTAAAAAAGAGAGAATTTTAAGGTCATTTTGAGCTCTCGTTTTTTGTTTCTTTAAAAGCAACAAAAAACCTCCCTTCTTTGAACATCCGTCTAACTAGTTCAATCATACAAAAAAAAGAATAAAATCCACCCAAAATAAAATGAAATTAGATAAATAAAAAAATTAAAAAAACTCAATTATCACTTTTGATTACAATTGTAATAGTGAAATTACACTTTTATTTATCAAAATTTTAAAAAATCATATTCATTGTATTTGTTTTATGTATCACTTTTACATACATTTACACTTTAGTTCTTTCCACCTACCAATGACACTTTTCAATGACCTTAGCAAGTTAAAAACAATATGATGTGCTTTGATAATTGTATTATTTATTTTATTCAAGTTTACATTAAAGGTGATAACCGCGTAATTCACATCATTGTGATAATCATCTTTATGCGATTATATGTATAACGCCTTTGCAATTTTTTTCTTACCTTATTTGATAGTAACTACAAATAGATTACTCTAATATAAATATTATCAAATCAACAGGCAAACTGTTGCTGTTTTCTTAAAATGTTAAACAAATTTTTATCACAAGGGATTTTGTGGAGATTTTAGAAATTTTTAATAGTTGAGTTCATGAGTCAATGGAAGCAAGATCACCATGGAAAACCTGGAAACACTGGACAGCCGTGTTGTCATATTGTGGGACTCCTCAGCAGCACGCATCCATGATCACGCCCTCCGCGAGATTCGAACCCAGGATCTATCAGTCTTGCGCGTGAGCGCTTAACCTCTAGACCACTGAGCTGGCCGACATTCAACGGTGTTAATATCTAACTTCAACTAATCCATAAAATTGAACGACACATCCATCATTGTCATCAGTGAGTTACTAGCTCACAACAGACCCGGTTGAACTCAACTGTTCACTGCTTCTCACTAGAACTCCAGGAAATGCCTCTCAAAGTCAGACACTAGTGAGCAGATAATTATTATGAGAAGGGATTTTGTGGAGATTTTAGAAATTTCAACTATCGACAGATATATATTTTGAAAAAATTAATTTAAAAAATCACATTGTGAATTGTCTTTTATGAGGATTTCATTATTTTATTTAACTATCCTCTTCATATATATATATATATATATATATATATATATATTGTTTGGTTTTATGAGCTATGTAGATGAATTGCGAAGCTTTTGATGTTGTTTAAATAACATTACGTGTTTACTTCATGTAGAGTTAAATATCCTAGTCCAAAGCAATCTACAAAAATAATCAGTAGTAAATATAACCATCAGAATAAAACTGTTTTAATGGTTGTAAAATAACTAAAATCCTAACTTTTACATGAAGTAAGCCGTGATGATATTGTCCAAAACAACAATAAAAGCTTCATGGTTAAAACATCTAGCTAAGGAAACTCATTAACATTAAAAACATCCACCTGTACATTACAAGTATTCATCATCGTATGCATATAGATGTATTGAGGTCGTATTTCATCATTGGCTAATATTAATAAAACTCAGGTAACATTATTGAAAAATTCATCAGTGTTCTGAATAAAGCTACCATTATTGTCAACAATGATTTTGTTTATCGTTTTGTTTTCATTCTTTTTTTCTTTTTGTTTAGCTCACTGTAAAATTATATTTTGCTCAATCGAAATTTTCATTTCTTGATTATATATTTGGTGGGTAAGTAAACTAATGTTTCTTTTGTCAAATCAGAATATATTAATGTATGACTTTCTAATTCAATCTATCTAAGAAGTCAATGTGTAATAGACTCAATTATAATAAAAAGACTATACTAATATATTGCACGTTTAATTTTTATAAACTATTATCAGTGTATATTTCAATAACATTTGCCCTTCAAATTATATTTTTGTCTGAAAATATTACGTACAAATTAATCTGTACTGTTGGTTACTATGTTAAACCCATAGCTTCTGAACAGGTCAATTTAGTCATCTTTCTTGAGTCACATCTCGACCATGTTGATTATTCGCTTGTTACCTTGATTGTTTTTATGTAAGCGTATGTGTGTGCATTTTTTTAAAATGGTATTCATCATATGTCTGTAACTTATTTCTATCCAAAAATAAAAACCGATTAACGGTTTGATTGAATTGAGTTGGCTCACTCACCTTCTCCACTGAGCGTCACTTCGTTTTACTTCACTCTCTATCTCCTATTGGCTTCCTGCACTCTGTCTCCCTGATGATCTGTGCAGATCAACAATTGTACGAAATAGAACATCATTCTCGTATTTGGTTTACTTAATTCCGTTGTTCACTAACGCCGAATAAGTTGATAAAAATATACGACGATAAGCAATATATATATATATATATATATATATATATATATATATATATATATATATATATAATTAAGAATTATTAATGGTAAATATTGGTTGAAAGTGAAAATCTATTGAAATATATGTTGTGGTCCTACAATTTCCTTTTAAATAAATGACATTTAATCTTTATCTCATGTGTTATTTGATCGATTGATTGATTGATCTTTGGGTAAGAGTCAGTATTATGTTATCCAGATCTAATGTGATCAATAATCACAATTACATAAAATCACAAAGCACTAAGTTTTCATTCGAAACAGTTGAAGACAATCTGTAAGAATCATGTTTTTATCAAGATTTTCTTATCGATTGATATTTGTTAACAAAACGTATCTGAAATCACGGAGTAACTAATGTTCCCAAATCATATTAACTTGTTATAATCAGAAACGTTACCATTGAATTAATCCGTTCATGATTAGTGATCATAATGAAACTGCAAAAATGAGTAATCTGTAAACTTTTAATTAAATAGTATCGATTCATATCTTCATATAAATTCTGATTACCTAAATGATGAATTTAATTGTACCCTAACAATTTTCCCATGTCATTTGTAACATTTAATCAATATATGCTCATTAGTGACTGGCTTCAAGAGGTATATCCTGGAGATCTAATGAGAAGCAGTGACCAATGGCGTTCGACCGGGTCTGTTGAGAGATAGTAACTCACTGATGACAATGGTGGATGTGTCGTTCAATTTCATGGATTGGTTGAGGTTAGACATTTACACCGTTGGATGCCGTCTAGCTCAGTGGGCTAGTGGTTAAGTGCTCACACGCGAGACCAGTAGGTCCTTGGTCCGAACTTCACGGGATGGGATCGTGTATGAGCACTGGTGAGGAGTCCCACAACAAGACGAAACGGCAGTCCAGTGTTTCCAGGTTTTCCATAGTAGTCTCACTTCAATTGAATCATGATCTCAACAATTGATATTACTAAAATCTCCACAAAACCCCTTCTGACACATTTTTTTTCATTTATTTTCTATATGCATATTCACATTATTTTCACAAATTATCTTAATCTCTTTGAATATGATGACACATTAAACTAATAACATAAGATGTAATTCATGGTTATTTGTTTCTTCATTTCTGTTCATATGTATAATGATATATATATGGATATATCACTTCCTTATTTAATCTTTTAGTCAGTATAATCATTATATTTAGATGACCTCATCATATGAATGTCATATTCTATGTATCTGGTTATTTCCTGTTTTCATCGGTATATATAAACATTATCATCATTCTTGATTCTTATCTAAAAGACATTATTATTATTATTATCAATTTCTAGATGTGTATGTACATTTATTTATAATGTAATCAACTTATCGTTTTGTCACTATGTTACTCAAATAAGATTTACTAAACTTATCTGAAAGGATTATTCTAATAAATCACATTAATCGATATTCATTATTTGTCAATTTTCTTATTTATTATTTATTTCAGTTGATATGTGTACGGTCAACAATAAAATATTGTTGTTTATTTCTTACAGATGATAATCAATGAGCTAGTTGATATTTTATCCTATAAATTTTAATAGATTTTTACTCATATTAAATAATAGCTAAGTATAAAATCTAGAAAGAATGTTTTAACCTATTGGGGATTTAACACATATACCTATCTATATCTCATTGCTAATGTTCCTGGTTAAGTGAAAAGTACTAGGTTCAAAACACAATATGAATATTATCACTACTACTTAGATGCATTGAGTTGACCAGTGACAAAATAAGGCAAAACTCTCATTCAATATTTCATTTTTTTGCCACTTTCTAGCTTTACCAAAAGCTTGTAACTAAATGATAATACTTATACAATCTGTACATGATAAGTATATGCCATTAGAAACTGACTAAATACAAATCTTTACAAATACAACTTAATCGGAAACCATAATGTACTGAATGAAAAAAAACTGGTGTATTGATTATGATATTCATGTAGAAATATGAAAAGCTTCCTTTTAAATAACATTCAATTGGTATTTTCTTAACGATACTGTTATTCAATCAAAGATACTTTTTTTAAATAAATATTAGGATTACCAGGCTAGAAATAATTAAAGCAAGCAAACTTTATTTAGAAATATCCTCAAATGAATTTGTACTATACCCCCCTTTTATTTTCATTTCGATCACTTTTACTACTTAAATAATTGACAAAATTATGTCAAGTAAAATATAAAAAAATGTTTATAGAAATAGTGTAATTGTGTATTTGTAAGTGTACGAGTATATTAATTTGAATGCTTTGAGAATATATCGCCTCAAGGGTAGAATGAATGTCCGAATTTGGTTTTATTTAATTTAAACAATTAAGGTAGATCGGTGTGAAAAAGGAAACATTTTTAGCTAATTAAATCCATTGGGATTCTACCTAACCTTGCATGTTACTTTATTTTGTAAACTTTCGGAACACACACAAAAATTGATGACAATACTTAATAACATTTTTTAAAAACTTAAAATGAATCTATTAAAGGTAATAACATAGAAAATCTTATCCCTGACCATTGGAACTAATCCGTGTCAGGTAGAGACACGTATCTACCTCAGACAATAGAAGGTCGTCGCGCGATACCATGGATTAGTTGAGATTAGACATTAACACCGCTGGGTGTCGGTTCAGTGGTCTGGAAGTTGAGCGTTCGCACACGAAACCTAAGGTCCTGGGTTCGGATCTCGCAAGCGAGATCATAGATGTGCACTGCCGAGGAATCCCATACTAGGACGAAACAACTGTCCAGTGCTCCCAGGTTTTCAATGGTAGTCTAACATTGATCGATTCATCATCTCAATCAAAACTTAACAGTCTCCACCACCTCATACTGATATTTTTATACTTTAAAGCATTTACATAAAATGAAAAGTTTCTAGTCAGGATAACGATTAGATTAATAACGGAATGGGTATATCATTCTAGATTGAAAACTCTTCAACAGCGGTTAACACCATCCACCACAAGTGTGGAAGGGAGGGACCACAATCTAGTTTGATTGCGAAGATCACTATCTTAAATCCAACTTGATTGAATTCATGGGTTACTAACAAATGCTGTGATGATCTTGAAAAATCTTTATTTCACTCAATAGTGAAAACACTGACAATGACTACCAATATTCATTAGTAGTCAACAAGAATGAAAAAATGAAGATTTTCAAAACACTGTTCCTCGTTAATAAATGCTTACGATTTCGAAACATTTCAGCATCTTTTTTTCTGGGATAAACCCTATCCGAGAGTAATATATTATAATTTTGAATAGTGGCTTGATTCAATTCATCCGTTTGTAAATTCTACTGAAAATTTCGTCCACATAAACTTCGTGTTATACTTTAGCAAATCATAATTTGTTGTTCTTACACTGATAATAACATTTAGCTGGATTTGTTTTTTAAAATGTTATAATTCTCGATGAAAATTTGCTCTCAAATACGGAGATGCGATTGAAACGGTTTTTATAATTATAAATATTCAGCTTTCTATGTTTATCCTAATATACCTGCTAGTCACATAGTTTTCCTATCTAAAAGTTGAAAACTATAGTTTGTCTACTTTAAAGTAAACTGTTAAATGTTATATTTTAAATGAATGTTAACTAGTATGAACCGAAACCACGATAGAAATAACTATACACTGTTCTACAATATGAATTGGTAAACTCTATAGTGTAACTGATTATAAACAATGTAAAAATCAAATCATTTTTATCCCATATAAACATAACACACATATTTCCCATCATTATCTTGAAGTGAGCAAGAATAAACATTTGACCAGAATAACATGAATTCATTTGATTTCATCAGATTCTTACCATCTGCTTACAATTTTTTTATAATTTTTGAAATCATACACATAAGTCAATATATTTATATAAGTGAAGTTGGTTAGAAATGAGTTTAGTTCACCATAATGAAGCAAATATTCATATACAGTTAGTAAGAATGTTTTTTTTTTCATTCTTCCAAATAAAAACAATATACAAGGGAAGATCCTAGAACATCATAATACTGACTAAAGATTAGAAAGCTAGAAAACTAGTTGATTACATAATGACACAGTTAAACATAAATATATGATCATTTGGTATAATACGAATTAAGTGAGATCAATCAGTTAAAGATACAATTATAAATTTTAAAGAATTAAAAATAATCCCATCAAAATTAGATGAAGTTGTGGTATTCTGCTCAAATCTTCTAAATACATAATCGCTAAAGAAAAAAATGTGACATTTCATCAATGCATATTATGTAAAACTAAAATTTGAATTTCTATATATACATACAAACGACTTGCACATTGCTCTCTCATTCTCTCCCTCTCTCTGTCTTTCATTTATTTGGTTGTTATTACTTTGTTACTTTTCTGTTCTCAATTATTTTGTTTCTCTAGTCTAAGTATAAATGTAGTTGTGGCTGTCGATATGTCAACTCATGCTTCAATGAATTCAATAACAAATACACCCAGTCAACAAATAGAATTATCTCAATCTCATACAGAATATGAAGTTGCTATACAAGCTGTAATGGAAATACTTCAAGAATATGACAGGTAAGAGAATTCAAGAAAAATTATTATTATTGTATTCAATTTTTGTCCTATTGATTCTGTTATAAAATAAACTGGAATTGAAGCATGGTTTTACAATGTTAAAGATATTTTTTGTTTGAAATTTTTTATCAATCGACACATAATTCAAATTCTGTTACCTAGTTTCTTTTCTCTTCTATACTTATTTAGTAATAACATGTCTTGTTTCATTATCCCGAAATAAACAGTAACATGTAAGCTGAGAATTAGTACACTATTATTCGGTACAGTACTGATAGTTTCATTCACAACTATTATGCTATTTCTTGTCATATACTTTCAAAGGACTTAGTTATTGTAGAATGTACTCTCTAAGAATGAAATGTTAGTAGAATTTCTTGAAGACATTTATTAAAGTACAATAATGATGTACAATCAAATACTCTTAAATCTTAATCAATTCATTCTGAAATACTTTTAGCAGAAAATATAGTTTTCAATAAATACCTTAACGTATATCAACTGATATCAAGAACCTACATCAATAGTTTAGTGTTTGGATGAACTTCGGCATTATTTACTACTAGAAGGTCATCTATTAATTCTTAGTTGAAGATAATGAATTCAATACTACACTAAATTAAAAGTTAGCTATATCAATCTAGTCACAAGGACAATGAATTATTATCAGAAGGGGTTTTGTTGAGATTTTAGAAATTTCAATAGTTGAAGTCATGAGTCAATTGAAGCTAGACCACCATGAAAAACCTCAAAGCACTAGACGGCCGTTTCTTTCTAGTATGTGACTCCTCAGCATTGTTCATCCACGATACAGCTCGCGGGATTCGAACCCTGGACTCCGACTCAGTCAACTAAACTGTAATATCATGTTAACTACTAATCATCCATTTATAAGTTGAAATATTTCACTTATGCAAAAAAATAACTTCGACGACAGTCAAAATCATCATTGTATTAAGTGGTTATTAACAAGTTGTAACTAAAATATTCATAATACTTTCAAACGAATCTTGTTGAATTTCAAGCTAATTTACATAGTAGAAGTTCGTATTGCTGATGTCATTCAGAAAAATGCTGAAAACTCCGTGTACAAACCATTCAGAGAATAAAACTCCATCATAATTTACATAATCAATATGATGAAAATTAATTAGTTACTTTCTACTGATACCTAAATAGTAACAAAATACTTTATAAGAAGACTTCATGTACTCATCCCTAGCTAAACATTTACACCTATAGAAATAAAATATATAGATGCTCTAAATAATCAGCTAAAGAATTGATACTTGGTACCAGGAATTGTAGTTTGTAAAACACATAAAGGATGGTAGTATCAACTGTACTGTATCAACTGTATCAAACGTACTACAAATAAAATAATAATTATAATGTTTAAATACACTAATAATGATGAAATTAAACTAAAACAACATGTGATATGAATGAATAAATGATCAAGATCTACTATGAACTTCAGCAACTGACAATTATGATTAATTTATTATTTGTTTACTTCTTAAAATTAGATTAAATATCGTAAATCATTCAAGAAGAACTTAATTTTACAGTACAGTAGTACTCTAAGCGATCAAGACATTCTCAAATTCATGTTAAGAATTAAGTTGAAAAGATTCATTATATATATATATATATATATATATATATATATATATATATAAGTTGAATACATGAGTCAAATAAAAATCGACCACCATGGAAAACCTGGAGGCACTGGATAGCCGCTTCATTCTAGTATGAGACTCCTCAGCAGTGCTCATTCACGATCCCGCCTAGTGCTTCTAGAGTTTTCATGCTGTTCTAGCTTTAATTGATCTATGAATTTAACTATTAAATTACTACAGTCTTCACAAAATCCCTCTCTGAATATATATATATATATATATATATATATATATATATATAACGTTTACTATACATTTTCATGATAATTGCTTTGTTTTCTTTTACAAAAAATAACTATATAAAAAGTGATCAACTATTTCCTGCTTTTGGATTCGGTGCAAAGGTTTCATCAGGTGGTAAATTATCTCACAGATATCCATTAGTGAGTTTTACAAACACTTTTTTCATGCTTTAATCATATTATTTTTGAAAAAAATAATACTTATTCACGATGACTTCATATTTAGTACAAACAAGTATGAACAAGGTAATGATGGTTAGTGTTGAATAATTCATAAACACTAAAATATAGAATTGAAATTAATAGTTTTTAGGATAGTTAGAATTTATTAAGAATTAATCACATATGGTATGAAGAGAACAAACCAGCTTCCAGCTGAAGAGGAAATCGGGAAAAGACGATGGAAATGGATAGGACATACATTGAGGAACTGATCAAACTGCATCACGAGGCAAGCACTAACTTGGAATTCTGAAGGGAAGCGGAAAAGCGGAAGGTCAAAGAACACATTACATCAGGAAATAGAAGCAGATATGAAAAGGATGAATAACAAGTGGAAAGAGCTGGAAAGGATTGCCCAGGACAGGGTTGGATGGAGAATGCTGGTGGGTGGCCTATGCTCCTCCACGAAGAGTAATAGACGTAAGTAAGTAACATATGATATATAAATTAATATAATTATACTTACTCGAAGGAGTATGGGTCGCTCACCAGCATTCTCCATCCAAATCTGTTCTGGATGATCCTTCCAAGTTGTTTCCAGTTGCTACTCATCCTTTTCATGTTTGCTTCCAATTATCGGTGTAGTGTGTTATTCGGCCTTTCTCTCTTCTGTTTCTCTTCAGGATTACAAGTTAGCATATGTTTCGTAACGCAGTTTGATGATTTCCTTAATGTTTTTCCTATCCTCTTTCATCTTCTCTTCCTAATTTCCTCCTCAACTGGAAGTCGGTTTGTTCTCTCCCATAGTAAGCTGTTGCTGATGGTATCAGTATGATTATAGTATATATACATATATTGAGTCCATTAAATACATGGACTAAACTATGATGTTTTTTGAAATACGAAAATATTCTTATGCGATTCACAAACTGTACAGAGTTTGTAAAAATTAATCAATTTTATAGTTTACGTCACAAAATAGTCTGAATCAGGCAAACAGAGAAAAGCAACAATTACAATTTGGGATTTTTCACCAGCGCTTATTCAAAACCTTATCGGCCATCAAGCCTAAAATTTTCAAGTTTATAGGTGAAGTAATGACCTTTAAACCAATGAGTGGGGATCATATTGTTTACATTTCTGACTTCAGTTAATTCACAATATTGTACAGCAATCATTGAATGCCTCTGGTGGGTAACCGCCTCAAGATGTTTAAACTGCACTAATTATTAGCTTCTCACAGTAACTCCCCGATATAACGGATAGTTTAATTTATTTTCTTCTTTCATATATATGACGACAATACGTTCATACTATAATAAGGCTGCTCACGTTATATCAGATCCAGGATTCCCAATCCGAAATAGAGAGCCAGCGTATAGACTAGATAATACTTTATTCGATACAATTACAAATACAGTGAATTCGGAGTAGAAGTCAGTGAGAGGAAAAAAATCAAATGTTTAATAGTCAGTAGGCTGTGTCTGTTTGTCCGCACTCAATGGTCAATCATATTTTACCTTCACCACCACACATCACTCCTATTTCAAGCTTAAGAGATTGAGGTTCACTCTCCAATGAGGTCGTGGATGAACACCAGTGAGTAGCCCCATACGACGACGAAGCAACTGTCTCTTTTTTACTGATTTTCAGTGATTGTCTAACTAAGATTCGCCCTTGATCCAAACTATAACACTCATAAAATGTTGACAGCTGTTCAACAAGAAATAATTATTCTGACGCTAGAGATTATTTATGACAATCCATGAATTATTAATAATGATATTCCCAATCGACTCATTCGTATATATATATATATATATATATATATATATATATATATATATATATATATTAAGGGTAATAAAATAAGTCTCAAATCGCCACAATTTTAAAACCTCTAAGTAAAAGGGATGATAGTGATAGAGATAGAATTTCCTTCCAAATTTTATTTTCGAATACCCTTTGGGAAAATGAAAGTCGCAATTTTTTCATTGTCATCGTGTCTTTTTATTATTTGTCGGTGTTTTTGTGACAATGGTGCCTACTTCTGCACTTTATACATTATTGCTTTTAAATACCGAAGTTTTTGTAAAAATTTCTGATGAAGTACATGCTAAATCATGTACACAAATCATGCATGTCATTACAAACTAATTCACGGACAGTACTCATTACAACTTTTATAACCATTATTGACAAATCTCTTCATGATTAGTATGTTGAAACAACTAATCATTTCTTTATTTCTTTAGATTTACTATAGTTTTTAGCAGAATTTTAAATATAGAATAGTTTTCCTGAATAAATGTAACACTAAAATACTTGATCACCATATTTTATGAAATTAGAAACTAAATGAATGTATGTTTATCATAGATTTTTGGAGATCATTGAATTTACATAATCTATATTACAGAATGATATTACTCAAACAATTGTTGAAAACCGAGAAGCCTTAGGAAGCTGTTTCTTTCTAGTGTGAGACTCCTCAGTAGTACCCACACATATTCACTAAGAATCGAATCCAAGGCCCTCGGTCTTGTGGAGAGCACCTAACTAATCTCACAAATTCCTTGAATCTTAAAAATCGTGAATTATTGCATTCTAACTTGATGGAAGAACATTATCACAACCACTGTGGCTCTGAGTGTAATTTTATTTAAAGTCATGAATGTAGACTGTAATTTAATCTCCAACCGCAGTGACTTCCTGACGTTTTTAGTGAGTTTTGAAATGTGAACATAATCAATTTGACACAACGTAGTTACACACTGATAGAATCTACTAAGCATAGCATTATCGCGTGCTGTGGACCACTGAATTATAACTTTGCAACTTTGCAAATTAGCAATTCTATACTCCTTGTTTTTAATGGTTTCTTAGCTGTTTCCAGTCGGAAATGACCAGTTATCATAACTTGCTTAGGTAAATATTCACTTATTTACTACATAGTATGCTAACAAATTCTGCAAAATATTACATTATATACGAATAAATGTAACCCGAGTCGATAGGCTGGATGAGCCCAAATAGATCATGCCCATATTTGCATTGAAGGGAACAAGAACACGAGTGTGGACAATCGAATGCATGTGAACACAACATTACAGAATATCTCACTAAAATCTGAGAACCACTAAGTTACTAGTTCATTTGCAAAACATCAATAAATTGTTTCAAACTTCACTATTCCTTTTGCGAATATCGGTCCATCGTCTCAGATTTCAGTGTTCATGCATTTTCATACAAATTGCTTTCCGTTCCCGTTCTTTGCGTATCGATATTCTACCGAAAAACATTTTATTCCTGACTATCGTTATATTTTACTTATGTGGATATAAGTAGCTCACACTATACATGACCTAGCTCTATACCAAATGGTACCTAAGAAATACAAGAGGATATATTGTTTTGGTCAAAGCAATTTATCCAGTTTGTTAAGGTTTGGCATAAATATCTGAGGAATATATATATATTTATATATTAAAGAGTTGTGTGCTTTTTTATTCAGTTTGCCAACTTAGGCCTGTCACACCTCGTGGAGGAGCATAGGCCACCCACCAGCATTCTCCATCCAACCCTGTCCTGGGCAATCGTTTCCAGCTCTTTCCACTTGTTATTCATCCTTTTCATATCTGCTTCTATTTCCTGATGTAATGTGTTCTTTGACCTTCCGCTTTTCCGCTTCCCTTCAGAATTCCAAGTTAGTGCTTGCCTCGTGATGCAGTTTGATCAGTTCCTCAATGTATGTCCTATCCATTTCCATCGTCTTTTCCCGATTTCCTCTTCAGCTGGAAGCTGGTTTGTTTTCTCTCACAGTAGGCTGTTGCTGATGGTATCCGGCAAATGGATGTTGAGTATCTTGCATAGACAACTGTTTATAAATACTTGTACCTTCTTAATGATGGTTGTAGTAGTTCTCCAAGTTTCAGCTCCTTACAGTAGAACTGTCTTGACGTTCGTACTGAAGATTTTGAATTTGATATTGGTTGAAAGTTGTTTTGAATTCCATATGTGTTCTTCACTTGTAGGAATGTGACCCTTGCTTTGCTAATCCTTGTCTTTACATCTACCTACATAGCCTCTTAATCATTCGTCTACAGGAGTTTAGGAGAAAAATAAAGTATATATCAGTATAAGAATCAGACGACTGCAGACCATGACAAAAGTACTCACATAAATCTACTAGAATCTTAGTCACCCATTATTATTTAATAAACTCTTAGTCTATTACATAAATATCAGTTTCATTACTTACTTACTTACTTACGCCTGTTAATCCTAGTGGAGCATAGGCCGCCGACCTACATTCTCCAATACACTCTATCCTCGGCCTTCCTTTCCAGTTCTGTCCAATTCCGCAAATTATGTAATAGACCATATAGGATTTTTTAATGGTTAAGACCAAGAAAAACCTGGGAGCAATGGACGGCCGTTTCGTCCTGGTGTGGGACTTCTAAGCGGTGCGCATCCACGACCTCGCCCTCTGCGAGATCTTAAGCGTTGAAATTACTACAATCTCCACAAAACCCCTTCCGACATATAGGATTTCTTTGATTTAGAATACTTATAATGATAATTGACTAGTTGGATAACATTTGTTTATTCCAATTTAATGAATGACTTCAGTTTTGATCGTAAAAGCTTTTCATTATCAAAATGTAATGATCTTAATTTTACGTAACTGTTCTCCAACCCAATCTGTCCTGGACCTTCTTTTCTAGTTCCATCAAATCTTGTTCATTCTCCTCATGTCTGTCTCCATTTCTCGGCGTAATGTGTTCTTTGGTCTTCCACTCCTCCTTTGGCCTCCAGGATTCCATGTGAGGGCTTGCCTTGCGACGCAGTTGGGTGCTTTCCTCAATGTGTGTCCTATCCACTTCCAGTGCTTCTTCCTGATTTCTTCCTCCACTGGAATCTGGTTTGTTCTCTCTCATAGTAAGTTGTTGCTAATAGTGTCCGGCCAATGGATCCGAAGTATTTTGCGTAGACAACTGGTAATAAACACTTATATCTTTTGGATGATGGTTTTCGTAGTTCTCCAAGTTTCCGCCCCATAAAGTGGAACTGTTTTGATATTTGTATTGAAAATCCTAACTTTGGTATTAGTTGACAATTGTTTTGAGTTCCAGATGTTCTTCAGTTGTAAATATGATTTAATAATGCTTCATTAATATATATATATATATATATATATATATATATTCCTTATAACAACAAACAAATAAACACTAATATAAGGTTAACAAAATATTTTTTGACTGATCACTTTCATTTATAAACTATCCTAAATGAATTTAATGTAAAATAATTCTCTAAATTTATTCATATATAACACTAAACTATTCACTTAATATACTTTTGTAAACTATACTAATACTTTATTGCAATTGAATAACGTTAGTTAGATTATTTTAAATCAAGAATAGATATAAATGTGAAATGTATTTAATTTGATATGATAATGTGTTAAGTATTTAATTCTTAATAAATAAGTTCATAGATTGATCAATTGAAGTTGAATAATTGGATCTTTTTTATTGGAAAACGTGATTTAATATTGAATAAATAAATATCTAGATGAATGATAAACCCTTCGTTTTTTTCTTTTTTTTTAAAAAAAGAGGTAAATGGATTTAATGATATACAACTTGATAGAGTAAACTTATCACTATATGATCAATTAAGCACGCATAGATCTTTTATATTCAAATGTGATTATGTAATACAATGTTCTAAATCTTTTATTGTTCTTTTTTTAAAAATTTATTTATTTGATAGAATGGAGATGTAAACAATTGTTTTTGTAAAGGTATGGTAGGTGTACTTTCAGCTTATAGGCGTTGTTTAACTGATTTATATTCATCTGGTCCAATATTATTTGCACCAATCATTCGAGAAGTTAGCGAGTAAGTGTTAAACATTATTTTAAACAATTTCAAAGAAACAAACAAAATGTTTTTTTGTTTGGTATAGTTGAATGTAACACTGATAATTAAAAAATTTGTGGTGTGTACTACTGATGTTAACATGATATAAGTAATATGTATTATCAATCGAAAATGAATCTAAGAAAAGAGAACGAGAACAGAGAATGATTGGTGTGGAAAGTAAAAAAAAATGTAGTCTGAGACGATTGATTGATACTTTGCAAATAAAGTATTTACTGTATGGTTCTTAGATTTTACTAAGACATTCTGTAATTTTGTATTCAACTACATTCGATTATCTCCACTGGTGTTCTCGTTCACTACATATCCAGCTTATAGATTAAATACCTGGTTATGATTAAAAATTGTATGTCATCGCTGGATAGTTAAATTTAATTTTCATAGCAGGGTTGTGGAGATTATCAAGTTTTGGATTAAAATCATGAACCGATCAAAGTTAGATAGCCATTGAAAACCTGGAAACACTGGATGGCCGATTCGTTATATTATGGGACTTCTCAGCAGTGCGAATTCACGATCTCGATTCTGGGATTTGAATCCAGGACATTCAGTCTCGTGCGCGAACAATTAACCCTTAGACAACAGAGCCAATATCCAACGGTATCAATGTATAACTTCAACCAATCCACGAAATTGAGTGACCATTTTCCATGGTATTAAAGTAGATACCTGCCTCTGCTTGATGTGGAATAGCTTCAATAACGAGTAATAATGTCCAACATCAATCAGTCCATGATCTCAATCAAAAACTTATTTAATCTCCACAACCCTATACCGGTAATTATCATGTATTTACTAGTGACTAGCTTCGTGAGGGAATTCTCGGAATTCTAGTAAAAAGCCATGATCAGTGGAGCTGATCCGTGTCAGGTAGAGACAGGTATCTACCTCAGTACAATGGAAGATAGTCACTCAATTTCGTGAATTGGTTGAGGTTAGACATTAACACCGTTGGTTGCCGGCCAGCTCAGTGGTCTAGATGTTAAGCGTTCTCACATGAGACTGAATGCCAAGGGTTTGAATCCCGTGGGCAGGACCATTGATGCGCTTTGCTGAGAAGTCCCACAATAAAACGAATCGGCTGTCCAGTGCTTTCAGGTTTTCAATGGTAGTCTAACATCAATCGGTTCATGATCTCAATCCAAAAAAATTTAATTTTCATAGCTATTAAATAAATCTTACATGTATTCATTTTGCCTAATAGTTTTTGAATAAGTTTGCGCTGATAGTTTCCTCCCATTTTAGCAAACAATTCTCTGGGGTAATAAATTAGATTTTAGGACAAACATTCAGAAATTCTAATCATGATACTTTAAATTAATATACAGATAGACAGAGGAGGAAAGAAAGAGAGGAAACAAGTTAATCAGACAAATAATATATAAGTTTTTATTCCAGATACTAGAACTTGTCAAATAAATTTTGCATATTAGCTAAGCTGTTGTGCAAAGACCTATAATTCGAGTAATTATGTAATAAAAATATAAAACCGAGGTGCATAACAAATTAATAAATTGTTTCAGTTGTGTAATTATGTATCATGATATTTCTGATATAAACCTGAGTAATAAATTTTTATTCTTAGCTTAAAGGGCTCGCGAAGAATGCTGAGCGTCATAATTTACATTACAAACTAACAACCATTGAAGATCAGGGAACACTGAATAGCTGTTTCATCTAAGTATGAGACTCTTCAGCAAGGTCCAACTACGACCTCACATGAGGCCGAACTCAGGACCTTCAGACTTGAAAGCAAGCGCCTTACTTTTAAACCAGTGAACTACATTTACAACTCCAACCAGTTTACTCCGCTGAATACCCATCGTTCATCACTATTGTTGCGTAACTGCCTCATACCTGTAAGCATGATTGAATTCCACTGGTCATAGTTACTCACTAAAACTTTTGGCATTACCTTTTAAAGTTTCATAAATTGTTCGTTTTGGCAAACAATTTTTAGAAATATGCAAATCAAAGAATACTTACCCGAATAAAAACATTTCCTATTTTGATCTCTTTCTCAACATAATTGGTAAGAGAATTTAGAAAAATCAAATGGAAATCCGGTCCAAAATCTATCATTTATAATAAAATAATTATAATGAACATATTCAAACTAACCTTGATCGATTTTAAAATTACATATAAATACTTTTGCATACATACTTAACTGGAGACTAGTATTTTTTTAAACATAATCGAAATGAACAGTTCATAATGATGAAATGTTATATTATTGACTACCGATAACCTTATTCTACTTGTTTTTCAATTAGAATAATCGTCTGGACTCGAACACTGTTAGTTATACACATGAAATATGTTTCAGACAATGTAGAGATAGATAGATAGATAGATAGATAGATAGATAGATAGATAGAATATAAAGAATCATAATTTCTTCAACCATTTAACTGTTTTACTCTAAAACGTTACATCTTAGAATTGGCAGCTCAATAGTTCTATATAATCAAGAAATGTAAAAGAAAATAAGCACATGATCATTGATATTATCTACGTTAGTTTCAAAATATTATTTTATCTTTCCTGCCAAATTTAATATGCAAGAAATATATGATACATTAAAGTAACAAATAAATGAATAAAAATCATTTCCAATAAATGAGGCTTAGATGAATAATATAAAATTATTTATGGAAAAAAACTATGTTATTATAAACATAAACAATTAACTTTGTCATTAACAATGTTATATTATGTAATTGGTGATGGTAATCGAATTTCATGTATTAAGTTATTATATAATTAATGCTCAGAGTGATAAAAACATGTTTCGATGTGACTATAATTTATGGATGACCTTAAAAGACGCTCAAATCACCCTGAGAGTGTTTACCTACTTACTAGGGCTAAATGAGGGTTATAAAGCAATTTGAAGAATAAGGATTATGATTCACAGTTGATGGTTAAGTTTAGAAATTAGATTTAGGGTTTTCATCATGAACTGATATTAGTTATGATATTAGAACTCTATTTAGCCAAATGGGTGAATGAGTTTCGCGCCAATATCTAAAACATGTTATCGTAAATCTGATTGATTCATCCATAAATTATAGCTTCACCCATTTTTCTTACCTCTAGTTAATCAAAGATGACAACTTCTAATTTTAATTTCTCAATGGTAATAAATTATAACTTCAAAACTATTATGATTGATACCAGTTTAAATTGTGAAAACAATATCATTTTCTTAAAAAATTGTCTAAAACTACGAACTAATATGAAAATTTTAATTAAATAGTAAAATTACGACTCAAATTACTAAATATACATACAATAAAAATAATAATGATTACCATGTAATCACTAGTGACTAGCTTCGTGAGGGAATTCTCGGAATTCTAGTAAAAAGCCATGATCAGTGGAGCTGATCCGTGTCAGGTAGAGACAGGTATCTACCTCAGTACAATGGAAGATAGTCACTCAATTTCGTGAATTGGTTGAGGTTAGACATTAACACCGTTGGTTGCCGGCCAGCTCAGTGGTCTAGAGGTTAGGTGTTTGTGCACGAGACTGAATGCCCTGGGTTCTAATTCCGTAAGTGGGATCGTGGATCCGCACTTCTGAGAAGTCCCATAATAGAACGAATCGGCCATCCAATGTTTCCAGGTTTTCAATGGCTATCTAACTTTGATCGGTTCATGATCTCAATCAGAAACCTAATAATCTCTACAACTATATACTGACAAATAATTTTACTCTTCCATTATATCTTACATCATGATTATTAATTCTTTTCTATTTTAAAGAGCAGCTAAACGAAGTGAAGCAGCTGATAATTATTATGTTCTATTAATATTAACTAATGGTACTGTAGATGATTGGATTGAAACTAAAAAATCTGTAATTGAAGTAAGTATGATTTATGCAATTAGTTACCTTTATGAATCTGAACCAATCATCAATGTACAATAATATAAATTCATTATATTTCATGATTTCTCTCATCAGTTGTTTACAACCAAATATGTATTAAAAGTTTACATTAAGGTAAGATATAGTTTGGAACATCTGACAGAAGGGAATGTAAAGAATTAGAATGATAAAGGTTCTCAATAATAACTATATATGTGTGCAAGAACAAGTCAGAGGTTATTTGGTATTAGAATCAAGAAAACGTTAGGGATAGATGTTGTAATAATTGAGTGACAACCTGTGTCATTCTAATTTTTTACATTCACTTCTGTCAAATGTTCTACACTATAAGCAGCTGATAAGAAAAACCACGAAATATAATGAATTCGTATTATTCTGCATTCATATTCGATCATACAAAAACGGTTAGTATTAATAAGCGAATAAGTGACAAGGTCAAAATATAGCATGAGAAGAATGAATAAATTGGTCTGTTCAGAAGCCATAATAACCTATATGGGCTTGATATAGTGCCAGTCACTTCAGTGTCAATGTCCACATTTTTGCTGGAACCCAGTATCTTTTGCACCAAAAACTAACTCGCAAATCTACCTGACGAGTACAAAATAGGACGAAACACTGTATTAGATCCTACTCCTGACTATAACTCGTCTATTTTATAAAACTTATAACATAATAGTTTTAGCAAGACAATGCGCATAGAATGTATAGATTTTAATAATGATCGATCGAAATTCTATTCTAAATATTAACAGTGGGATAATTCAAACCTGTACTAATAATGGTGTAAACTCTAATTATACATTATCGTTATTGTTATTGTTTGTTATATTGCACTGATTTTCTAAGCATAATTACATTCAATGCAGCTTGTACTTGCTATTCCATGTGGTTGTACCATATATTAAAAATAATATAAAAGCTGAATCAGATGTATTTGTTTTAGTGAAAATACATGCAAATTTTATAACAGAACTATGCGAAAAACGCGAAAATATAACTTAATTAATTAGATAACTGATCACAGTATAAAAACACAACTATTGCTGTGCAAACGTAGAAAAAAGATTTAGCTATCTTTCTTAGATGTATTTATAAATAAGTCAAAGACAAGATGAATTGATAAAAACGCTCTATCTACAAAAAGCCTATTTATAAATAAGGCAATATCTTTACTGGTGCAGTTCTTTTTTAGTTCCATATGATTGTTAATAAGGAGTCAATTAACTACGCTCGACTGTATATACACAAAACGATACTACGGAAGAAAACGTAAAACTGTTAAAAGAACCACTGACACAGAATGAAAGACTAACATAATTCATATAACACTATAGAAAAAATCATTTCATAATGTAGTCTATTACGCTTTCAGTACTTATCATATATCTACTTCATCCTTCTAGTCATTGATAAGTTTTTACATTTACATATTTACTATGATATGAATTTCAATAGTTGAGATCATGATTCAACTGAAGATAGACCACCATGGAAAACCTGAAAACACTAGACGGTCGTTTCTTCCCATTGTATGACTTCTTAGCAGTGCGCATCCAAGACCCTTCGTCGCGGGATTAAAACCTAGGATCTACTGGTCTCGCGCGCGAGCACCTAACCTCTAGACCACTGAGCTGGCCGGCATTCGACGGTGCTAATATCTAACTTCAACCTATCCATAAAAATGAGCAAAACATTCATCATTGTCATCAGTGAGTTACTATCTCTCAACAGACCCGGCTGAACTTCACTGGTCACTGCTTCTCATTAGAACTCCAGGATATGCATCTAGAAGCCAGTCACTAGTGAACATATGTTGATTATTATCAGAAGCCGTTTTGTGGAGATTTTAGAAATTTCAATAGTTGAGATCATGAGCCAATTGAAGCAAGACCATCGTGGAAAACATGGAAACACTGGACGGCCGATTCTTTCTATTGTAGGACTCCTCAGCAATACACATCCACGATCCGCTCACGGGATTCAGACCCAGGACCTATCAGTTTAGCTTCAATTGACTCATAATCTCAACTATTGAAATTACTACAATCCTACAAAACCCCTTCTGATAATATGATATGAATTATTCAAATTGAATCCACTATCTAATAAAACCATCCTTTCTAGAAAGTATTAAAAGTATGCACAGATATATTACAGGCTTATAATGTTGTAAAACATTATCATGTATGATATTTAAATGAAACCGGTAAAATTCAACAATATTCCCCTTTCTTTATTAAATTTTTATTAAGTATGAATTATTCAAGTTAGATTTTTACTTAGATACTTTATATCTAATTTTTTTTTTAAATTATGAATGAAGACTTCATTTCTTCCCATATCTATCATTGTACTCGGTGTTGGTGGTGGAAAGTTTTCAGGTAAATTTAGTATATTACTTTTCTAAAGTTATAAACAGTAGTAAATGTTTGAAAAAAATCTTTCTATTAATCCCTTCTTGATAACTAGTAGAAATTTCACCTGATTCTTAGGGGGAAAAATCTCATTTTTACAATTAAAATCGGGAGTTTGATCCTAACTATAGAATGAATAATTAGTTATAATGTCGATTTGTTATGATGTAGCTTATCTCTGGTGAATGTTAAATGATCTACAGTTTTTAGTAGTTTTTTAACTGTTATCAAATAGTAATGAAAATATCTTGAAAAGTGGATTATCTCTACGTATTACTCATTTAAATATTGATTTTGTCTAATAATAAAACACATAATTATTTAGGTATGTATTTCAGAGTTCATTTCTCCTCAGAATTTCTCAGTAGTGATAAAATATTGATAATGGTTTTATATTTACGATCGTAAAGATGATTTCAACTTGAGCAGTATATCTTTCTTCCACAATCGTCATAAACTCTTACAATATGTTTGCTATTTCAGTTTCCTGTTAATAATAAGTACCCTTTACTGACGAGTACTAAACGGAGCAAAATTTCAACTATATGCTTTTAACCATCTAAAATCTTTTGTAGCTTAATAAAATACTATACTAGTTATAACTGAAATTGGTTACTTACAAGGACTGATACAGCTCGATGTAAGGAAGTAGACATAATTGCATATGAACGGTTCCTTATGCACTAACTACAAATCCTCAATTGATCAGAAGCTACAATGAGATTAAGGTCATTTAATTATCTTTTTAACAGTTAAATTTGAAAATATTTCACTAGGCAGCAAGTGATATGAGTAAGATTTAAAACGTCAATAAATTTAACTGCACTGACTAACAATATCAGGAATTACGAGACTATAATTTATGAACGAACCAATCAGATATAAGATAACAGGTCCCGGATTTTGGCATGAAATTCACCCATCTATTTGGTTAAATAGAGTTTTGGAATTACAAAAACCCTAAATCTAATTCCTAACCAGCAACTGTAGTGTATAATTCCAATTCCTCACACTTGTTTATAACCCTAATTTTGTCCTAGTTATTAGGTGTACACTCTCAAGGTCACATTAGCATCTCTCAAAGGTCGTCCATAAATTATAGTCTCACCGAAAATTCTTTAAACCGTATGCTAAACAGTTTTCCTCAGAATGAATAAAATATCTCGAACTTATTTTTTTTAATGTGAACACCACAATTCTGATCATTCGCTCAAAATCTGTAATGATTAAAATACCTAAACCAATAGTGATTTTCATTACCAATAATGCTGATATTCTCAATTTTGATAATCCATCATTTTCTTTGCATTAAACTCTCATCATTATTATCAGACTACATTGAATATGTTCATCAAATTCAAAAGAGTAAATAAACTTTTCCCAATCGTCAAGTTATATATTCTAACGAAGCAATTGATTGGAGGAATACTGATACTAACTTACGAGAGATTATCATTTTACTGCAGTATCTAAATAGACTTTCGCAACATTAACATGAGTAGAAAAGTCATCAGAAAACTTAACTAACCAGCTCATCATATATATATATATATATATATATATATATATATATATATATATATATATATATATATAGTGGAATTTTTGTCTACGCAAATAAAAGACATAATCGACCAATGTATTTTATATGACAAACTAAAATGAACTCACTGATTCTCTTGAACTTCTTTATTCTTGATTAATCTTTCGTTTCATGCTAATTCACGTCACTTTGATTAGATATTTTATTCATAAATAAGTCTTAATTGACTAAATCATATTTAGACAACCATTCAGTTCAACAATCTTTTGAAATCTATTTGACTGATAATTGATTTCATAAGTTTGCACACTTAAATTTCATAATTATATTATGACTAAGGATTACTTAGTCAATAATCAAGAATGAAAATGAAGGTAACAACATAACAACTAATAAAACAAGACATCTATCTGTTTCATCCTCATCATATTTATTATTATTTTACTGAACTACTAGTCCATCAAGGAATATCAGCCTCCTCAGGATCGTAAGCATACCTTACAGACGAGTAATAACTAGAATGAAATCTAGATGAGGAAGGAATCTCTGTCAGCTATTGTCAACCAGTTAATCCATACTGAACTATTTTAAAAGTAACATCATAAATTAGATTTCTTTCTGCTTGAAATTTAGATTAAACATCAAAAGTAAGTAATCAGTATTGTATTAATTTAACAATATCTTAAGTTAACGCATTATAACTATAAGCTTGTAAAAACAACCAGTTCATATCTGATATCTCACATATTTATTATTCTATTGTTATTTGAATTAGAAATGGAAATTTTGGATCAGGATTTTGGCTTACTGAAAGTTGGTCAAGAACAAGCTTGTAGAGATAATGTACAAGTAAGATTTTATTAAATGATATACATTTATTGACATGAATTTCAAATGACATATCATCATTTATACTCAAAATGAAAGTTACATTTTTCAAAGATCATTCAATACGATTATCAACGAATAAATAATCAATGATAATAAATGAGTAGTCCCATACTAGGATGAAACAGCCCTCCAGTACTTCCAGGTTTTCTATGGTAGTATAGTTTCAGTGAACTCGTGAATTCAACTGTTAAATTACTATAATCTCCACAAAACCCCTCTCTGATGATAATGGATGTGTTTAGAAAATTCAAGCAAAATATTTATATTACAAACTGGTTGATATTACTTTGAAGAACATTTATTTGAAGCAAAATTAGATGGATTAGTAATACGAATCAATGAGAGCAGAAATCAATCTAAAAACAGATCATTTAATAACAGTCTTTCAATGGGATATAAACTTGATTTCATATGTAATCGAACACAGTATCTCACTATGAAACCTAAAAATCCTATGTCTGAAGTCACAAGTGTCTATTACTGTGAAGTCTTAAACAGAGATATGAAAGCTGTTTAGTTCATCTTTTCATTGACTCACCAGACGATGTCACTTTGTGGTGAACATCATCTTTAAATCTAACTAATTTCTATAAATCATCAAAGTAACCAATCAGTAATTCAATTTGAAACTTTAAATTTACGCCGATAAGAATTCAAGGCCTTGATTGATCATGTCAGCAAATTAGGAAACAATTTTATAGTTATGATCGATATTATAAGTCATTTCTATCATTTACAATTGTTGAATTTCCTCGTAACAAGTTGATAATAGGGTGAGTACTCTGTAACATTTAAATCATTGTTTCACCTTTGGAATCGGAAGAAAATAACTCCTATCAACTAAATAAAAATAAGACTTTTATCCAAGCAAAGTTCTGACAGTAGCTAACAAAGAAATTCAAAAAGCATGTTTTGTTCTATTCGAGACTCGTTAACCGGATTCACCCACAAGTTAGTGTAGACGTTTATTTCAAGGCTCTGACTCAATACCTTTCTATTCGTACGCCAAAAGAGTCATCGACTTGGATACCAATTCCAGATAAACACTGCCTTATGAAACAGGGATGAATTTTACTTTGAAGCTTTGCTTAAAAATATTTTTAAATTAATAATAAGATCAAAGTAATCCATACAAGATGCATGTATACTAAGATTGATTAATTTCAGTCCTTAACTTCAACAACGAAGTAACACAGACACAAATGAAATAAACATCTACACTAACTTGTAGGTAAATCTAGCTGACGAATCATGTAAACTTCCACCAACGCTTAAAAACCTCAGATATATCACCAATTTTTCTAACAACTGCATTTCTAAGATCTTAACAGTGATTAAATTCAAACAAAACAACAAAGTTTCCGATATTTTAATCATATAGTTTCATTAATTGAAAACTCGAAATAATATCTATACAGTTTAGATCCTCATTAAAAAATCCTCCTAAAATATTGTACAGTGCTTATTAACTTTGATTGATTCTCAAGTAATTTTAGTTCATGATGGTGAATTATAAGTTAAATTACCTGATCTTCAATTAGTTTAAACTTTCATTAATATAATTCCTTTTGCCTAACTGGATAATATCATACTATAAAAGTGTAGCTGAAATTCAAATACATAAACTTAATTAAATCTTAGCTCTTCATTTCATTTTCACTGTGTTTTATTTCCTACGATTAAATCATGTAACTTAGTGCTTTATTTAATCTTTTATTCAATACGTGATGTAATTCCTAATGGTAATGATAATTTATACTCATCCATCCCTTAGCTCACCTCAATAATTTATATCTCATACTATTCTTTTTTTTCATTGATCTTTATACAGTTCAATGAAAATTAACATTTATCCATCTATTGGATAATTAGAATGGGGTGGATAATTAAAGTGAATTCATTTAGGGTTTTCTTTTTGTATCCTCTAGTTGCTAAGCTTCTTTTTTGTTAAAAAAATATTAAAAAATCATACAAATTAAAAGAGATTAAAATTGATTTGAAAGAATCATTTAGTAATCAACTCGCTGATTTGATTTATGTATTGATTTACTCTTATCTTTATATGATACATGTTTATTATTAGTTTGTACAAATGCGACGATTTTTACGATTAGCAGCCGACGGATCAGATAGTATTCGCTGGAGTAAAGTAGCATTAGCTAAAGAGGTATTAGCTGAATTACCTTCACAAGTAAGTTTTTTAAATATTTTTGTCTTTTATATTTATATGTATTAATTAGTTTAAAAAAGTAAGACAAGGATTATATTTATTTTGTAGTTTTTCATTCCTAGTACTTAAGAGTGTGATTGATCAGTCTCTAGTGGCATATACTCATTTTGAATAGGTTTTCCCGATATACAATTAAGTTATAGATTTATCATATTTAGTACATGGCTAACATTGGAATTCCGGATGAGAGTTTTGTTCCATATGAGATTCATAGGATAAATGTACGTGAAGTGTAGTATTGATGTTTACATCAAGACTTGAACTCAGTACCGTTCACTTCATACATCCAACACACTATCGACTGAGATAGTAAGTCGAAATAGTCACTAACTTATTCAAAAGGTAGGAATGTGTATTTATGAATTTAAGTTACCTCATTAGCATATGTTCATCCAGTAAAAAAATGTCTCTTCATAGCTATTTTGTCAGAACCAAGTGATTGAAAGCCATATGAGCAATAATTCAAGGTCACAACAATTACCTTACTGGTTTGAATAAATGGATAAAGAAATTGTTTGTTCCAAGATAGAGTTCTGGTATCTATGGCATTACATAGTCTGACAAACAGGCTTAAAATAAGCGATACTAAACTACAATATGTGAAGCCATATCATTTAATTTAAATATATTTCGACAAATATTTACAAACCATAAGTAAATACTTGTTCTGACATACTTTACAAATAAAACAAAAAGTTGTAAAAAAATATTTCCATAACGAAGCAACATGATGGATAACAATTGACTAAACAACAGACAAATTATTTAAAAGTGTTTTTATAGTAAACGGTCGTCTGAGTCTGTTATTAATATACAAACTCCCTATACAAAAAACTCAACCACCTATTTTAGTGAAGAAATCAAGAGAGATCAAGAAGAATTTATTCATCAAAAGCGAATGAAAAACATATATAGAACTCATTCACGAATATATATTTATCTATTACAGAAAATTAAACCACATTTTCAAACAATAACTTATGTTTCTCTCCTTACATGGTGAAGCCAAGTTTTTGGCCAATAGCGTACGTTTGTCATTCGATGTGTGTCTGCTTGATCAATTATTCATTTTTCTAAATGGTATAATACAAGGTTTAACTTCAAATAACGAAAGAATGTTACTTCGATTATACAAAATAATGTATAAATGACTCCAAATTTGACCGTCTAACTATCAGTAACTTGTTATGGTTTCTGTTGTTTGAATAACTTATAAAAATAATATTCATCTCAAATGAATGTCATGTAAAGTGTCATCAAGAAGTAAGAAGCATTTGCTCAGTTATATAGCAAACTTCACACAAGACTGAATATACAACTTTTAGATCTCACAGATAAAGTATACGACTATTAGATCAATGAGTTAGAATAGGAAAGTCGAAGTAACTGCCACAGATCTTGTGTACAGGTGCATTGATATAAACCGGTCTTCTAAAGGTGATTACAGGGCGCCTAATCTAGTATTCTACAAGTCCTAATATTTTATTATTGATAAATTTTCCCACAAAAAATAACATGTATTTATCAGTTTGTACCATTTTTGTCATGGACCACATAATAATTTTGATATACATTTGAACTACTGAATTGATTATCAATAGGCAAAAACTGAAAGCTAAATATAGAAAGAGATGGGGTTAGCATCCATTTTAAATTGGCTGTGTAAAGGTATGGAGCTTGCTTCTAGACATCAACGTTCTGGGTTCAGTCTCTGGTGAGGGTATAGGTGTGCATACTGAGATGTTTAACTTTAGAATGAAACAACCATTTATTCGGACAATGTTTTGTGACTCGTGCTGTTCAATAAAATCTGTTGTATTCAGACATTGTATGTATGTACTGGTTACCGAATGAAATGCGTCCTCACACTTAACATTTGTTTTTCAGCCACGAACTCCAGTTCCACAACTAATTCAGATGAATTGGTGGTGTGTCCAAGATCCAATTACTTGGAATTATCCAATAAACAAAGGACTATTGTTTTAATCTAGTAGCTTCCAGAGTCAGGTCTTCATTTGAATATAAATGTATTGAATATATTAATCTGCTTAACGGGAACCTTCACGTCACATTTACACTAATTTTAACAGCTCTTGTACGATTTAGCAGATAAATAGAATTGTTGGTTTACACAGTAAAATTGGCTGACTGAAGCAATACAGAAAATAATATTAATATACAGTCATTTTACATCAGTAGATAACTGTTTGATTGAAGATATTTAGAAATTGTGTTCTTAACAGTAACTGACTACAACGCAAATTTGTAAAGTCTTAGCTATGTTCAACCATGTTGGAATCTATATAGTTACTCATTAATACCAATGACTGATGCCACGCGATATAATGAATAGATTGAAACTAGAAATATAAATCACTATTCCTCGATTCAATGAATTAATAAAACTGTATATTTTGCGAGATCTATAGGTCTTGGATCCTGTCCTTGATATATGCTTAGTAATCAGTTTTCTAATAGCTTCTAATCTTTGATAATTACTTAGCTGATAATAATTTGTGATGAATACCATCTTTGAAATAAAACCATTATTTTAAGGTCTATATTAACTTGTACAACTATTGAAAAGCAAGAAGCAATGGATAGCTGTTTCATCCTAGGATGTGTCAACTCAACAACTTTTATGAAAGATTCAACCAGAGTTTGAATATGGGTTCTTCAGCTCTGTACTTGAGTAACTTTTAAACCTTTATATTTCTAAGTCCAATGAGTTTTCGTTTATTATACAAACATCACCTAATGTTATTGATATTTTTTTCTCAGATTTTAGAATATTTAGACAAAAATCATCTTAGTCCACAACATCTTGTACCTAGACAAGCAGAAAAACTAAGTGATTTAACAAATCCTGATTGGTGGAGACGATTTACTCAACCATTATCTGAAAATCAAATTAATCCAATAAGTAATTTATCTGAAGATGAAAATGATGCTTTTCAACGTTTACAATTAATTGATAAAGATAATCAATCAAAAACATCATCTAATTCACCAATTAGTTCAACATCTTCTGATCAATATTATTGTAAATCTGGACAAATATTTAATTTATCTGATAATAATAATAATTCTACATTAAATGAAATGAAAAGTTATTCTATGAATCAATCATCACCTAAAAAATCTATTATACCATTATATCGTCAAATGTCATTAGGTACAACAAAATTATCAGAGAATTATCCAACTAAAACACGTTTTCGTCGTTTACCAAGTGGTTTAGATACAAATAGAATTTCATCAACTCGATCCAATAATAACACGACTGGTAATAGTTCAAAATAATAAAATTTAAAAGAAAAAAATTTTTTTCTTCTATTATTAATAATAAATAAATAAAATAAATAACACAATGTAAAATGTAATTTACTTCTTATATATATTTTTTTTCTTTAATAAAACAAAAATGAAGATATTTAAAAACAGAAATATATTTGTTATTTTAATTGATTGATTTATTGATTAATTGAGATGAATTTGTTTGTTTGTTTTTACTTCTTTTTGTGAAGGAGAAAAATAAAAGAAGTGGAAACAAACAATTTTATTCCTGTGTTATTTTAATTGAACATTGTACATGTAAACAATATACAACTAGACTACTACTACTACTACTACTATTAATAATAATAATATTCATAATAATAAATAAATAAATAAACCTGAGAGATAGTACTGTATGATAATGAACTCTTTAAAGTGCCTCATTGACATTTGTTTTGTTGTTGTTTTTTTGTTGCTTTTTTGATAAGCTAACTCATTAGACACATAGAGATGATAGTAATTTGTCACTGATCAACTTGAAAGTAGATTAAGAAAAATTAAATAAAATTACAATGATTATGTATTTTGTCTTGTTTTTTTTAAATTTCACATTTATATATATATATATATATATATATATATATATATATATATATATATATATATATATATATATAACAAATCATGAACACTTCTATTGACATATACATAATAATAATATGAATGTATTTTATAGAAATTCATTGTTTCATTCAAATGTGTCCATTGACAAGACAATTAATAAAGAATCCTTTGCATTGAATATATAAGTTAACTGAATCTACCAATGAAATCTACAAGGATTTTTATTTCTCCATACTACTACTACTACCACTACACCTACCGCTACTACTATCACTATTAGTACTGCAACCACTGATGATAATGATCATGATGATGAAGAAGAGAGTTTACTCAAAATAACAAAATAAATAATCATCGAAAGTGCAATCAAATAATAATTAAACACTAGAAATAAATTAATTTCTTCATATAAACTCAATATGAGTGAATAATATTTTTTTTCTTTTTAATAAACATACAAAAATAATACAAACAGTTATTTCATTGTATAATGGTTAACAAGAAAAAGAGAGAGAGAGAAAAAAAGAGAAAAAACGAAGAAGATTATCTTGTTTTGATTGTATTCAGCTATTTGGATTGTTTGTTTGTTTTTCGCACGACTCCTTGTGAAATTTTAAATATACATATATATAGATTGGTTCAGTGTTTTGTAATTTTCACTTTTATTCTTTTCTCTGATATATAAGAGTTTTGAATTATGGTTGAATCAATTTATCTCTTTTTATTTTTGTTGCTTAAAATAAGCTAAATCTTTATATGAAGTAAGAATTCATTTGTTTTATTGTACAAAGATAGACAAGCATTTCATAAATCATGTAAAATAGACTGATTGTGATTAGTAGTGAATTGTCGGAGTTTTATTTCATTCTAATTAATATTAGTTACTTCAGATTTAGAGAAGTGACTGTGGGTAGTCGACAGGGAACTCTGAACTTAGGTTTTGTGCTATTTCATACTTGTCAATATGGTGTACTTGGGATCCTAAGAAAACTGCTGTTCATAATGTTATTCACTAAGCCATGAGATGAAGTTGGTCACTAACTTGTTCATTATATGTGATCTTTTTGTCAATATCAGTAAGGGTTTGAACATCCCATGATTGGTATTCAAAACTAAATTTTGATTCATCTTTGTTTTATAAGTTAATATGATGATCTAGTGAAGTTTGATGTTTTTTTTTAATTTATATAAAAAGCCTCCTTAACACACTGTTGATATGAAATGCTTCTTGGCATTGTAATGTTAGTCAGAACAAATGTTTAACTGAATTCTGTTTGATGAAGAATTGATTAAAATGGTAACACAGAACAATAAGGAATCAAGTCTCTCTAACTTCAGTATCAATGAACAAGAACCAAACTATATCATAAACGTGTTTTAAAATGATCTAATTTATAGGTTGTATCAGTTACAGGTTAATTTCAGATACAGTATTGTTAAAAACTAGGTAGAGAAAGATAGTCATTTGGTTCTAGTGTAGGGCCTACCTGCAAACTACAAACTGAACATAACTCCGTGCATATTTTTCAACTAGACTATAATAAACCGTTTACTGAAATTTTCTTCAAGTTTTTTCTGAAGGTTAAATAGGAGTCCGTGACTGATGAAGTTAAGAATCTCGGAAGTGAGATAATTGTCCTCAATGGCATTAATTGATCGTTTCGCTATATAACAATCTCATAAAAGTTAAGATCCCACCATTGAATGACTACTCAATTGCTCTAATAGCATTCCCCAAAAGAAGTGAAGGTCCTGGATCCAACTCCCGACGGCATGATGGATAAGCGTATCAGTATGAAATAGGTAACTAATAATCCCCAATTTTCAACGATACTCCAACTGAGATTAACATGTGACGAATACAACCTACAGATACTAAAATTGTTCAGTTTGGAACAGAGTTCAAATATATATCTTTCAAGATATGAATGACCAACTTTTATCTGTCTGCTTTCTGTATTAGCGAACGAGCTGAATTTTCTTCGATGATGTAGTTCTTAAGGATAAATCTAATTCATGAACTCCAAGACCCAGATTCACAACACATTGTTGATTTATACTTGCTACAACCTTTTGGAATCTATCAACAATTACTTAGGGATTAACTCCAACTTATAAGCATTATCCATTGCGTTTATTGAGTATCTATAGGATTATTCATTAACTATAATTTTAGAACTATTACTGTTATGTGGCTTTCTTACTCATCTGAACTTTCCGGTCAAAATCATTTGTATTAGATGCAAACACATAAAAGCAGCTTGCAGAATAAACTAGTATAAAGCAGATTCTCTAGTGCTATCTTGGAATTGTGGTTCGGTTTATGCACATGGTAATTGCTAATTAGTGAATAATCGAGTTTATTCCAATGTGTACGATTTTTATGGAGGACTCGACAGAATGACACTCGACACTAAAACACTTTAACGTTAAACATTCACATGTTAATATGAGGTAGAGAAGATAAAGTTTTCAAGATGGATTTGTACTCTGAATAGACATAAAAAATTGAAATGAAACAGCCCTTTTATTTCGTAAACTTAATTACCTTGAAACAAAATTAACGGACCAAAAGTAATAACAACAAATCAGATAACAGAAAACGTTTATTGTAGAATCATGAAATTGTCCTTTATAGAAACAACTAACACGTAATAGCACAAGACTGCATGAACTGAGCTCTTCTTAACATTTCCGTTTACTTAACAGTGAGTTTTAAATTAATAAGTTAATAATATAAGCTATCGAACGATATTTCTGTAAAAATGATGGAATACTTCTTAAAAATGTGAAACTCAGATTAAACAAACAACTTTACAATATTAATCTTAATAGTATGATGTTGGTTGTACTTCGACAAATTACTCATGTGGTCCATCAAGCAGCTCATGGGCGTATTGTCATAAATTTTAAAGGTTTTCTACCTTATCTTACGGATAGTGCTCTGAAGTTTTACCGAAGAGTTGGTAAAAATTTCTAGTACATATTTTAACATTAATATATCTCCTCAATGACAGTGATTATTTGGTGAAATTTTTCTTATCCTTTTTATCTATCAAGACTAATTTGATAGTGTAAATACATGTTATTTTATTCACAATCCCATTAGTACGTCATATTACTTTGTTCACTGCCAAGGGATCCATTATATATTCTGGTAGGCAAATTCAGAGATCTGCCTACAAATGATCAAGTATTTCCAACTGTTCAATACATATTACATTCTTCAAACGCTTTGTTTGTATACTAACAAGCAGTTAATTACCTGATAAAAAGGCAACAGTGAAATTCAAAGTGAAAGTGCAGTAGATTACAAACAGAGTCATTTATCACCCTATCTACGAGTTATAATTCATTCTTGCAGAATAATAGGCTGAGTATAGAATCAATTATATGAATATTTCTCATTGTTTCAGATGTTCTATCAACTTTAATAATTGTCTCTTTAACATATTATTCTACCCAATAATTCTACCTAGGACAAGTAGGTAATAAGTAATGATCAGTTCAACTATCATCTACGTATTAATAAATAATTTCTATCTATGGTTATCTATGGTAACTAAAAATTAGTCATAGTAGAAACAATCTTGCTTGAGTTTGTATAATACCACATATTTTACATTTCACTAGTTCATTCGTTTCTTCTGAACTTATTTTCCATACACCGATTATGTTACAATTTGAAAAACCTAGCTTTTCATCTTCCAAATTTTTCTTATTATGCTGATGTGAAATGTAACAAGTTAGACCAGATCCTATGTTGTTTACTAATGATTGACTAACTGCCTGATAGATAGCCAGACAGATAGATAGACAGACAGACTACATTCCAGCAATAAATACACTGTTTATTGAAAGGCAATCCAACTTACATATTTTTTAATATGTACACTACAAACAGTAAACTTTAATCATCACCCACTGTTTACTGTATAAGTTACTTGTTCATGTACACTGAAAAACTGACTTATTGAAAAATAATTCAAGATTTACAAACTAATATATATATATATATATATATATATATTACGTTTTTTTGGTTAGCTATTTTTAATGAGTTCGTTTTCTACGGGATGGGGTCGTTAACCCAATATCCAACCCTCCACCTTTATCCGGGCGTGGGAACGGCATTAGCTCTAAAGGGGCTCCAGGTGGAGTTACATATATGTTTAGTTTAAAAACTAAGGTTGAAAAATCAGTACGTTTCAAAGATAAATGAATCTATAGCCACATCAAAACCAATTCAAAACGACATGGTTTTAACAACATTTAATCTTTTCTTACTCCAATGTACAAACTTAATTTCTCAGTTGATTTTGGTTGATTTTAACAGACATTAAAGAAGACATGTTTTTTACGGAACAAGATTACTCTATAAATTTGGTCGATAAATTTTATGTGAATAGGTTATAAGGTCAACTGAACTAAATGAAGGTAAATATTGATTTATTTTTCTGAAAAAAACGCACCATCTTTAACGAAATTGACATCGGCACATGACTTTTCATATCACTGACTGACTTTAACTAAAGAACCTATTGGAAACCACATGGCACTGAACAGTTGTCGCATTTTCTTTTGAGACTCCTCGATAATGAACACCCATGATCAAACATGGGGTCTAGTCGAGTAAATTTAAGTATCAAGGCGAGCGTGATAACATAAGGCCATATGGTTGGAATTTCTAGAGCACCTACCGTTAAGGGAATAGATTTTTGTTATGAGCTGATATTTTTTCCTGAAGAACCATTGAAAAACCCAGGGTATCTAACAGTTGTTGTGTCCTAGTTCATTACATTCAAACAATAAGATATATTGTGAACCACATTTCGTCACAATCTGACACTGAAGTTGAGATTTAGACCATTGCATTCTGACTGAATTCTACGTTGACCCAGAGACCTTAATGTGGCAGATTTTTTATCACGTGCGTATAATCGTGAATCTACACTGATGGTAGGTCTCGAGATGTCCTTACTTACTTAATTAATTATGCCTATTAGTCCCAATGGAGCATGGGCCGCCGACCAGCATTCTCCAATCCATTCTATCCTGGGCCTTCCTTGCTAGTTCTATCCAATTTTTGTTCATTCTTCTCATGTCCATCTCCGTTTCTCGGCATAATGTGTCCTTTGGTCTTCCTCTCCTCCTTTGGCATTCAGGATTCCATGTGATGGCTTGTCTTGTGACGCAGTTCGGTGCTTTCCTCAATGTGTGTCCTATCCACTTCTAGCGCTTCTTCCTGATTTCTTCCTCCACTGGGATCTGATTTGTTCTCTCCCACAGTAAGTTGTTGCTGATAGTACCTGGCCAATGAATCCGAATTATTTTGCGTAGACAGCTTTTGATAAACACTTTCGTAGTTCTCCAAGTTTTCGCCCCATACAGTAGAACTGTCTTCACATTTGTATTGAAAATTCTAACTTTGGTATTGGTTGAGAGTTGTTTTGAGTTCCAGATGTTCTTCAGTTGTAAATATGCTGCTCTTGATTTGCCGATCCGCGCACTCACATCTGCATCAGATCCACCGTGTTCATCGATGATGCTGCCCAACTATGTGAAGGTTTTTACATCTTCCAAATCTTCTCCGTCAATTGTGATCCGATTGGTGCATGCTGTGTTGTATCGGAGAATCTTGCTTTCCCCTTTGTGTATATTGAAACATACTGCTGCTGAGGCTGCTGCTACACTGGTCGTCTTCTCCTGAATTTGTTGTTGCGTTTGCGATAGAAGAGCCAGATTATCTGCGAAGTCTAGATCATCCAATTGCATTATAGATGTCCACAGTATCCAGTGCTTCCCCCCATACGTTGATGTCTTCACGGTCCATTCGATCACCAGGAAGAAGAGAAAGGGTGAGAGTAAGCAACCTTTCCCGACACCGGTATTTACTTCGAACGACTTTGTCAACTGTCCTCCATGAACGATTTTGCAGTTTAATCCATCGTAGGAATTCCGTATGATATTGACTATCTTCTGAGGCACGCCGTAGTGTCGAAGAAGCTTCCATAGGATTGTTCTGTCCACGCTATCAAATGCTTTTTCGTAGTCGATGAAGTTGATATAGAGTGATGAATTCCATTCAATTGATTGTTCCACAATGATCCGTAGAGTTGCGATTTGGTCTGTGCACGATCTATCCTTACGGAATCCTGCCTGTTGGTCTCGAAGTTGTGCGTCTACGGAGTCCTTCATCCTGTTTAACAGTACCCTGTTGAAGACTTTTCCTGGTATTGAGAGAAGAGTGATGTCCCCTGTAGTTATAACAGTTGCTGAGATCGCCTTTCTTTGGTATTTTGATCAGAAGTCCTTCTTTCCAGTCTGTTGGTACTTGTTCCTCATCCCAAATCTTTCTGAAGAGAATGTGGAGTATCTTTGCAGTTACTGCTACGTCTGCCTTCAGTGCCTCTCCTGGATTGTTGTCTAATCCAGTTGCATTTCCGCTCTTGATTTGTCTGATGGTTATGCTGATTTTTTCAATTGTTGGTGGGCTAACATCGATTGAGGGGTCCGTGGGTGCTACTTCGATGTCGGGTGGGTCCAGTGGAGCTGGTCGATTCAAGAGTTCTTTGAAGAGTTCTACCCACCTATTTCGTTGTTCTTCAATGTTGGTGTGTAGTGTCTGTCATTATGTTAAGCCCAAATACCTCATTATTCTTACTTTCGGACAGCCCATTCTATTCATTCTATTTGAGTCACATTCTGACCTTGTTAATTATTTGCTTATCAATATCTTGACTGTCTTGTTATGAGCGCGTAGGTATATGCACACTTCTCATCCCATTACTCATCACATGTCTGTAATTTATTTTTGTGGGCTTATAAATATTGATTAACTCTTTGTTAAAGGAGAGTTGGCTTACCAGCCATCTCCACCGCGCGCCAATTTAGCTTCGCTTTCTAATCTTCGCATCGTTCCTCCGTTCGTTTGTCTAATCAACAATTATACGAAATATATGCGTTCGAAACTCCATTCTCGTTATTTGACTTATTTAATTCCGTTATTAACTAACGCGATTTGAGTCAATGATTATATACGAGGATAGACGATAGCAACCAATCATTACGATCAAATTGGAGTCAGATCACGGGCCACAAAAATGGTGATCCCGTCACCACAAGCGAACACATCAGGCTACTAAAGGTGATTACTTTGCCTTCCTTGCTTTTCACTGGTCGTCCTGGTTTACGGTAACTCGAGCTGTCCAACGCTCCCCAATTTTCAGTAGTTCCGTAATTGATATCAGCTTGTAAAGAAAATTACATTCAAAATTACAAAATATCTCTTTTACAAAAGATCCAAATATTCATTGTATATCACAGATAAAAAAGATAACTGAACTGTTCATTTTCTTTACCAATAATATTCCTTCCTTTCCCTTCTTATTTTTTCTATTCCTTTTATCTCGTGTTATTGATTGATAAATGTAATTAAAAATGTGTCATTAAATTATACCATTTTATTACTTTACTAATGAACAAATTCATCCTAGTCAGATCGAATCCTCTAAGTTGAGTAGGTTAATCGTGTCATAAGTGATAAAATTCATATAGCTCACTTCTTTACAAAGTTCACGTTTATAATATTAATGTCCAGAAAGATAATAAAAAATTTATGATTAAAATACACTCAACTCAAAGAACACAATTTTATTCATTTAAATGAAAATTTACATATATATATATATATATATATATATATATATATATATATATATATATATATAGAGAGAGAGAGAGAGAGAGAGAGAGAGAGAGTCTTACATTGTTGCTTTGCCGTGCTTGTATACAATATATACATTGCTGTAAAAATAAATGAATATTGAACAATCAGAGGAGACTGTTTTAAAAATGAAAAAGACCACATCCACAAAATCTTTTTTAATTCTTCTATTATTTTTTTTTTGGATTTATTTAATACTCATATTTGAATTATAATGTACTTGGTCTGTCACATTTCAATATTAACAATCGAATAAATAATTGAGGTAAACTTGAATAACATTGAAGAATTTGTTTTTTATTTGGTCCATCAATTACAAATTTACGTACTAAATTCCCTTTATACATAAATAAACATTTACTTATTAAAATTTTACAACCTGTTTTTATTTCTAAACTATGCAAATAATATTTCATTCTATGAAATATTATTAAAAATTCAATTATATCTAATTTTGTTTGATATATAAACATGGTATAACGTAACCATCCACTTGGTAACAAAATGTTATTATTAATATTTGTATTTGTTTCATTTAAATCATTTGTTTTTATTTGTTTATCTTTAATTGATAATTGATTTAGATTAATTTTTGAATATGTTTCATTTTCATTATATTGTAACCATTCCATCAAATTTAACATATTAGATTTTAAAACAGTAAATCCAAGTATAGATGTATTAATTAATGGCCAATTAGTTGATTTTAACATATTGAAATTATTCTGATTTTTACTAATAGTAATATTAGTAGTATTAGTAGTAGTAATTATAGTAGTATGTTCAATTTTCTCATTGTTTATAGGAATAAAATAATTTTTAAATTTATTTTCAATTAATAAATCAATGTTATGATAATTAGAAATAATTGAATTTGATTTTTTTAAAAATAAGAAATCATAATTCAACTCTCTATCATTACTAATATCATGATCATCACTATTTAATATTGAATAAGAATGAAGTTTATTTAAAGAATTCTCATTTAATAAATCATGTATATTATAATTTAATTGTTTGAATTTATGATTATTTAATAAAAAGTATTGATTTAATTCATTTAAATTTTTCATAGATATTGAATTACTATAATCAATATTATTATAATTATGATAGATATTACGTAATAATTGCAAATGATTTGATGATGTATTTATAAGTTTATTATTCAAATAAGAATTGGATCTTTTGTTGTAATTTGAAATCTTTAAACAATTTCCCATGAATTAAAAGTTTTTTTTATTTTCATAAATAAAGTTAAATTTTTCTTTGTAATATTGATTAAAACAAAAATATTTATGTAAATGATTGATACACAATTAATAACTAAACAGATATTATTTATTTTAGAAATAAAAAATGAACTAAATTATTCATTTTATTAAAAAGAATTCAATTATAAAATAGTTAGAATATTTTTTTAAAAATCTATATTATCGATTACTATATTGAACATATTGAACGAAGGAATCATGTGATAAACAAGATAGAAATTAAACAAACTATACATTAAATTAAACAAGACAAGTAAATAGTTTGCTAGTTTAATAAAAAAAATTGAAATCTTGAACCGATTGATGTCAGACCACCGTTGGAAAGCTGGAAGCACTGGACGGCCATTTCGTCTTATTGTAGGACTTTTCAGCAGGATGCATCCATGATCCTACTCACGGGATTTGAACCCAGCGTCAACGCTTAACCTACTTGGCTACTGAGCCGGCATCCAACGGTGTTAATATCTAACCTCAAACAATCCACGAAATTGCGCGACCATTTTTCATTGTACTGAGGTAGATACCTGTCTCTACCCGACACGGAATCACTTCACTAGTCACGGCTTCTCACTAAAACTCCGAGAATTCACTCACGAAGTTAGTCACTAGTGAGTATATGGTAATTATCAGTATAGGATCGTGGAGATTATTAAGTCACTGATCGAAATCTTGAACCGATTAATTTTAGATCACCATTGAAAACATGGAAACACTGTGTTCGAACCCCTATCGTAGATGAGCACTGCTGACAAGTCTCACAATAGGACGAAACGGCCGTCTAGTGCTTCCAGGTTTTCAATGGTGGTCTAATATCAGTCGGTTCAAGATCTCAATCAAAAACTTAATGATCTCCACAACCCTATACTGATAACAAAAAATTCACTTGGTTAACGTGATTTATGTATCTTTTGAGATCTTTTTTGTAATCATTAATAGACTAAAGTTTACGGGGTTTAAGTTTTATAACAATAATCAAATAAACAATGAGAACTGAACTAAAGTAAAATGAAGAAAGAAATTATTCTAATGAATTTGAATTTTGACTAATAATGAAGTTTCGAATGTATATGAAGTATTGTTTGGAGAATTTCTAATGAATATATAATGAAAAAAAATGTTCAATACAAAATCATAATATATCATTTGCACATAAAATAGAATGAGAGCTTTCATGGGAAAAAGTAGGTTGATTAGTTATACAGGTTAAAAATAAATCGATGATAGTATTTAATAATAGGTACTGTTCAGTTAAGGATGCAACTGGGAGAGATTTCTTTCAGCGGAAAAGACCATTTTGATTTTATGAAAAATTTAGTAGGAAATTACTGCAAAATACCATTGGTTTCTATTCTAAAACATATAAGGAATCACTGGTTAGTATGAATTTTAGAACTGTAATTAATGTGAAGTAATGAACCAATAAACTCCATTTCTATGTAGCTATTTTTTGTACCACGGTACCCCTTAACAAACAAAACCCCTCTAGGGATTCTTTAACGCGCTTGAAACGTCAAAAAGTGATATGACATGCCTTCTCCACTGTGCTTAGTCCTGCTTTGCCCTTTTATCTTCTCTTCTCCGATATTTTGTCTGGATTAAAGATTGTATGAAATACACGTATTTAAAATTCATTCTCGCATTTGACTTACTTGATTTCGTTATTGACTAACTCAATTTAAGTCGGTGATTACATACGAGAATAGGCGACATATATATTTCAATAATAATCATTCATACGATCTACTTGGAGTCAGATCCCGGGCCACTAAAGTTGAGATCCCGTCGATGAACATCGTCCGATGTAAATGACGACAAAACAAAGGGACCCACTAAAAATTGAAGAACATATGGAAGTCAAAACAATTGTCAACCACTATCAAAGTCAGAATCTTCAATACAAAAGTCAAGACAGTTCTACTGTAAGGAGCTGAAACTTGGAGAACTACTACAACCATCATCAAGAAGGTACAAGTATTTATAAACAGTTGTCTATGCAAGATACTCAACATCCTTTGGCCGGATACCATCAGCAACAGCCTACTGTGAGAGAAAACAAACCAGCTTCCAGCTGAAGAGGAAATCGGGAAAAGACGATGGAAATGGATAGGACATACATTGAGGAACTGATCAAACTGCATCACGAGGCAAGCATTAACTTGGAATTCTGAAGGGAAGCGGAAAAGCGGAAGGTCAAAGAACACATTACATCAGGAAATAGAAGCAGATATGAAAAGGATGAATAACAAGTGAAAAGAGCTGGAAAGGATTGCCCAGGACATGGTTGGATGGAGAATGCTAGTGGGTGGTCTATGCTCCTCCACGAGGTGTGACAGGCGTAAGTAAGTAACTCAACATCGAATGTGAACAATCTTTCACTAACAATGTTTAAACACTGAGTTGTCAAACATTCATAGCTCAGACGGCCCGTATTTCACTTGAAAAGGGTATATAACTGCACCTACAGACTGATTGCGCACCCAATCATTTACATCCAAAATGAGCATGTGAGTAGTTGTCAGTGTTTAGCAACCCACACCGTAAATGTTATTCACAAGGGGATAGTAAAACAACTATGACACCAAAGAATAACTTCTCAAGGCAAATTAAACACGACCTCTTTGAGGGTAGTTTAGGAAGTATTAGCTATGAACTATTCAAACCTGACCGCTCATAAACTAAAGCCATGGGGAAATGTCAGGCATGCTATTGGAAGGACCGACCTATTCTAACTCCTTCTTTAGTTGTGGGAAGGTATAACCTCTAAAGATGATTGTTGTATATTGCCAATACATAACACTTTCCAAATGTTTTGTTACACTAGATATTGATTTACAAACCACAAAAACGGTCTAGACTATATTCAAAATGACTGCCCAGTATCTGATTTTTGAGATATATCCAGAAAGTGGAAATCCGTTCAAATTCACATACTCAGAACAAATTCAAACCATTGATCCAAAATATGAACAATATCAATAAAATATTCATGAATTCAAAAAGGGATGGATGGTTGGTGGCTAGTATTGGGATCCACGACGCGCGTTTCTTTCTATGTGGGGCTCGTCAGCTGCTAGCCATCAACCATCTTTGCTTATAATGCTCGTGAATTAAGGCAGTATCGAGGCAATCCGCACAGGATGTACATATGCCATTAAGAAACTGGTCAATCGCAGTCCTAAACATCAATGGGGAGATTCAAACAAACAACACCAAATCAATTCAAAAATGATTATTTTATTGATAAAGATGGATACTGTCAATGATGTTCTCTGAATTAGACCCTTTAATTATTAGCTTTTATTGTTATTCTGTCCAGAATTATCAGTTCCTACTTTAAAGTGATTCCATAACGGTAAATCAACCTGTACTAATTTTAACATATTTTCGATTGCATTTTTAGGGTAAATTTGTTATACCAAGATTCCTTTTCCATTCCCAATGATTATATGTTCAATTAGCTTCGTTCACGTAGAATAATTGGTTATATTCATTTCGACATGATTAATAATTCTATACTGACCTGTATGAAAGGTCACCAGAAATATGTTAGCACAATTGCAGTATCTTATCTATAACCGATGTTTTCGTAGTCTAATTCGTATTTATAGATGTCCAAGTGCACTGATATAAGTAACGACAAGTAGTATAGTTTAACTGACAAACTATTTGGATACGTAGGTAAGAGTGAGACATACTTAATTCAATGTAATGCATCTCGTCTGTTTAGTCTCCCAATTATATTTAAAGTAGACGCCTAGATTTCGCTATCAGAGATAGTAAAGGCTTTATGATCATGTCAACTTCCTCTGAGAGGGTAACATCGAAAAACCCAACAGTAATACAAGGCATCCTAAGTCACTTAATAAGTTTTAACGAATGAAATTTAGATTGCTTCAATAAGATTGTAAGTGTCCCCTACCCAATTCTGAATTGTCAGTCTGAATATTTGGTAGTTTTCCACATAGTTACAATCGTAGTCATATTCGTAAGTAAACAATTGAACCAATTAGAATAAACTTCAAACCCCAGACACTGTGTCGCATGAATTTATGGCCTGGAATTATTTTGTGCTATCTGGGAATCGATAAAACATTGTGCTTTGCTCTATGTAGGGGTAACTGTAATTATTGACTAAGGTCATCAGGACGTTTTCAATGCTCAACAAATATTATGGTATCCAGAAATTTCCAGGCATTTCTCTATCTTCAGTTTGGGGTTGTGGAGATTGATGAATTTCATCGAAATCATGAACCGATCAACCTTAGACCACCGTTAGAAACTTGAAAGTACTGGACAGCCACTTTTTACTCGTATGGGACTCCTCAAAAGTGGGCATCCACGGCACCTCACTAAGGACTCGAGCCAAAGGCCTTCGGTCCAGTGCGAACGATTAGATTCTAGACCACTGAGCCGGTATCCAACGGTGTCAATGTCTAAGTTTAACTAACCCACGAAGACAATGGAAGATGGTCGCTCAACATCGTGGATTGATTGGAGTTAGATATTAACACCGTTGGATGCCGGCTCAGTGGTCTAGAGTTTAGTCATTTGCGCGAGACCGAATGTTGTGTGTTCGAGTCTCTTGAGGGATCGTGGATACTCACTTTTGAAGAGTCCTATGCTAGCCCGAAACGGCCGTTCAGTACTTTCAGGTTTACAATGGAATTTTTCCATCCACTTATTCTATGTGTTGTATATAAGTGTACTTTACACTGGAGATTCCACTATAATCACTTAAAATTATCCACGTCTGCCTGTTAAGAACACATTGATGCAATATATTCAAATATGGCTGAAGGGAAACAAAAATGTAATGGAATTTAGATCTTAAAATGAGATTATTAAATAAATTCCACTCTAATCTGAGTCACCCACCAAAGAAACGGAAAACTACCGGAAAATGTTGAAAATCACAAATTTATTAAACGCGGATAAACGGCCGGGTAACC